TATTAACAATACATTTTATCAACACATCATAAAAATGTAATGTATAAGTTGTTAATAAGCTAGAAGAATCTTTTGGGAATCTTTTTTTTTTTCTCTTCTCAAAATCTCATTTCTATTATTTTTAATAATATTAAATAAATAGGAGAGAGAATGTGTACATTCATTTTTTAAAATATTAAATGTGAAACGTTGATTTTTTAATCCAATGATGGATATGTGCCAACTGCTTCTGGCACCGTCATTTCAAAGGTTCCCCCTAGGGGTGATCATGGACCAGACCAGACTGGGTTAGGTATCAACCCGAGGTCTGGTCTGGGTAGGACCTCGGGCTGAACAAGACAGCTTGAGGTCTGGTCTAGTCCAGTGCTAGCCCGAGTTCAGGCTGGACAGAACTTGGTCCCCTGGACCAGTCCAGGCAGTCCATTCAATTTCAGTCAGATAATGAAAACACCAATAAATCATATTTTCATCCAGAAAGGAATCACTATACGGCGATCATTGAATTTGGATTGTCTCTAGTCAAATCCATTCCAGAATAAAACAAAATCTGCAGTCATAATTGTTCATCTCTAGTAGGAAATGGCGAAAGGCATAAGTCGCAACAGAGAATGGAGAATGGAGCAAGAACATGCGCAGCACCTCATATCAGATTTATTAAAATAAACGAACAGAGAATGGAGCAAGAACAGAGAGACAGAGTAAATTAACGAACAACAACTCCTCCAGTCCTTCATTCGGGTGATTTAAATAAACGACCAGAGAATGATACATGCCGAATCGAATATCCGAGAAAAATCAGAACAAAAATAACTACCTCAAACACAACAAGAACACGCCGAATCGCCGATGAAGGAGGACTGGAACGGTGGAACCAGAGAACAACGATGAAGAAGGAGTGGAGTGAGAACAGACCGATGAACGGATGAAGGAGGAGGAATGGAGCAATAACACGCCGAATCTCCGATGAAGGAGGATCAGCCGATCAGGAACGGGCTGAGGAGATCACCAGTTCAACCTTCGACGGAGGAGATGCCGTCGCTACTACCTGCTGGCTGCTGCTAGGGCTTCTTCGATGAAGATGGGGAGAGAACGGAGAAGACCGAGAGCAACGAGCTGACTGAGGAGGCGCTGAGCTGCTGAGTGAGGATTGGTGTGACTGTGTGAGTAAAAGTAAAAGGATAGTGTTAGAGTTCCTCGGTGCCACGCCCAGTTCCCATAAGCAAATTAAAATATATATATAATATATATCACCTGGGCCAGACCAAACCAGACTAATTGTTTTGATCACTTGGTCCTGAGCATGGTCTAGCCCGACCAGTCAGACTGGTTTGGTCTAGTCTGATTTTTTTTTTAGATTGATTTTACCTGGACCGGGTTGGACCGGGCCATATCGGGTTAGACCGGGTTATCTGGACCATCGGGTTTTTTGCACAGTCCTAATTCCCCCAATCTCTCAGCTCTAGTCCACATCGACCTCTGCATTTACCTTGCTTTCTTATCAAAACGCTACAAACAAACAATAAAAAAAAAAACCCAAAATTAAGAGCGAGCCTAAAATGTGAAGAATTCGTTTCCGCACGAGTTTGCCTCCCATCACATCACTCTAATGCCCTGACAGAGAGAACTTGTTAAGAGATTCAACGTTTACCCTTTTTTTTTTTTTTGAAATTACAGATATCTTTTACATTAAAACTTTAATATATCAGCAACTTCATAAAAAAAACAGAGAGAGAGGAAACAAAATACTTTTTTTAAACAGATGCTACCATTGATGGATAATATTATGGTTAAAAGAGGGTTTTTTTTACCCATATACGATAAACAATAAAACTATATACTAAAATGCTGTATTTTTGAAACTATTTACTAATATGCTGTACTTAAAATCGTTCTTAGTAAGAACGATTTTAAAATTACACACAAGTCGTTCTTGGCGTAAACAATTTCAGAAATTGTTCACGCCAAGAACGATTTTACTTTTTCCTGTTCACTCCCTCACATACAAATCTCTGCCAATTTTACATACAAAAATAAGAATCCTTGACAATGCTCCATGAGGCTACAACATCTATATTGGATTAAAATTTGAAAATCCCAATTTTTTTAATTTTTTAAATAGAGCTTGATGAATTTTTCTATCATTTCCTCTTCTTTTTATTTTTCTCATACCAAACAATATGTAACAAAAAAAATTATGCTTTGACTGTAAATTTTTAATTTTAGCAATTAGGTTGCAGGACTAAATTATTATTATTATTATTTTGGTCACAGGCATAAAAGGTCCATGCCCAATACTTGATTTCTCGTCAAACCGAACAAATGCCACACAACTGGCTTTTTTTACCAAAATACTACAAAGAGTAAAATTATATACTAATATGCTGCACTTTTAAAAGTATCTACTAATATGCTGTACTTAAAATCGTTCTTCAGGTGAATAATTTTTAAAGTCATTTATCTGCTGAACGACTTCTTCATTTAATAAATGTTTACACCAAGAACGATTTCTAAAATCGTTCATGCTAAGAACGATTTGTGTGAAATTTGAAAGTCGTTCTTACCAAGAACGATTTTAAGTGCAGATAAATGCCACACAAGCTTTCATGCATATCAAGGATAGATTATGAAAAAATCGTTCAGCAGATAAATGACTTTAAAAATTATTTACCTGAAGAACGATTTTAAGTGTAGCATATTAGTAAATACTTTTAAAAGTGCAGCATATCAGTATATAATTTTACTTTTTGTAGTATTTTGGTAAAAAAGCCAGTCGTGTGGTATTTGTTCGATTTGACGAGAAATCAAGTATTGGGCATGGACCTTTTATGCCTGTGACCAAAATAATAATAATAATAATTTAGTCCTGCAACTTAATTGCTACAATTAAAAATTTACAATCAAAGCATAATTTTTTTTGTTACATATTGTTTGGTATGAGAAAAATAAAAAGAAGAGGAAATGATAGAAAATTTCATCAAGCTCTATTTAAAAAAATTAAAAAATTGAGATTTTCAAATTTTAATCCAATATAGATGTTGTAGCCTCATGGAGCATTGTCAAGGATTCTTATTTTTGCATGTAAAATTGGCAGAGATTTGTATGTGAGGGAGTGAACAGGAAAAAGTAAAATCGTTCTTGGCGTGAACGATTTCTGAAATCGTTCAGGCCAAGAACGACTTGTATGTAATTTTAAAATCGTTCTTGTCAAGAGCGATTTTAAGTGTAGCATATTGGTAAATAGTTTCAAAAAGGCAGCATTTTGGTATATAATTTTACTGTTTATCGTATATTGGTAAAAAAAAAAGCCTTAAAAGAGACTCACTGAACATTTTCTTATAACTTATTACTCGCTAGTGTTTGGAGATCATCAAACACACTTTTAACAAAATATTTTTATATAAGTCGCAACAAAATTTATCTCACATATTTAGCTCATGGTACGTAAAATTACTTCTAAAAAGATAATCCAAACACCCACTAAGTCCTAATTTCAAACTACTGTTTCTATGGTCTTATTTATAAAGCTAAGAAATTTTTTTTTCATAATTAAATTTTTAACATAAATGTATTATTTTAACTTTTATTTATTACTATTCATAGAAGCTAGGAAAAACATTAAATCTGGTTAACTCTTATTTAAATTTTAACAACTTTTTAACTTCACTTATATTTAATATAAACAATTTTCAAGAAAATAATAATCTACACAATAATAAATAAAAAGGTAAAATAATACATTCATGCTAAAAATTTAATGATCTAACTTATAAATAGAACAAAAAAACTCTCAACCTTATAAATAGAATCACAAAGATAGTTTGAAATACTGAATATATTAAAGTTTACAATTTTTTTTGGGTACAAATATCTTTCTACTAAAGCTTTAATGTGTCACCAATTTCATGAAAAAAATGAAGGCAAACAAAATACTTTTTCCAGACACAACCTTATAGTTTTCACGTGTGAAGGGAAAATGGGGAGACAAGTTTTTAAATTGGTGGAAGAATTATAACGGGAAAGAGAGAGGGAAAGCTCAACTTATTCATGACGTGGACGAGTCCACTTTTCCCTCAATGAAAAAATAAATACTCCTCCGATCCTAAATATAAGATCCTTATACACACTAGTATAAGAGTCTTATATTTAGAACCGAAGGAGTATGTTAGATGTGGCAGAGTGATGTGATGGGAGATTCTTTGCATCAAAGAGTATTTTAAGTGTAGTATTTTGGTCCAGGCTAAAAAAAATAAAATAAAAGCATAGCATTTTTTATAAATATTTTTTATCATTTAGAATTTTGGTTTTTTCTTTTTACTGGTTGCGGCATCTTGAGAAAAAAAAAAAAAGCCGCGCTTACTTGTTGTGAAAGTCACAGTTTGTTATTCAAGATGAAATTGATTTGAATAAATAAAAAAATTATTTGCTTTATTTTGTTTCATCTCATATTACAAACAAATAATCGTGATTTTGTTTGAATCTTCCGAAGAAGAAGATGAAAAAGAGTATAAATAATGTAGATCGGTGGTTGGGACTCTTTATTATAGCCTTTGGTACTGGATAGGATTCCAAAATTTGGGCTCCTCCATGCATGACCCACCACTGCCTTGAAAGCAAAAGAATTTAAAAAGTAAATAAAGGAGCTCCAGATCAGGACAACGGAAGTAGCGACTGATCAAGTGAAAATAAATAAAAAGAAAAAACTAAGAAATATAAGACATTAATAAAATGTAATTTGACAATGACTATAATTACATTGATCCTAGGGCCCTAATGATGAGAAGATTCTTTCAGATGGCGATATATAATTGCAGGGTTTCATATTATACAAACAACCTCTGAAACATGACAAAATGTATTATGACGAGCTTTATCCACTCCCTTAATATTTTATAATATGTGCTTGCACCTGTTTGTATTAAATTATTAAAAGCATGACTTTGAAGACCCTCGGGTGAAAAGGAGAGACTTGGTATGAATAAAGTCTCAATTGGTCAAGTCTCAAAGTCTCTGTACTGAAAGTGTGCGAGAGAGAGATATCACTGCTACTTTCTGGCTTCTGGGTGTACTGAGATTCAATTTGGTTGCTTCATTTGGAGAAGATCGAAATTAAAGCTCAATACAGAGGTCAGTATGTGGTCTGGGTTTGTTGTTGCATTTCCTAGTCTATGACCCTTTTACTGTATATTCATTTAGGTATGATCTTGTATATATCTCATGATTCTTGATCTTGATTAGTGTTCGCAATTTTGTACAGAACATTCGGCTAACTCACTAATATTGGATTTATTGATTAAATCTCTCACTGTTTTCTAGAAATTCAGAAGCTACAAGTATAGGTGGAGAAGCAGAAATTTCTAGATACAGTTTTTTAATTACCATGAGGCTGTGAAAATCGAATGTTGAAGGAGGCTGTGGATGAGTGTAAAGTGACTGTGAGGTCAGAGTATAAATAAGGAACTTGACGTGAAAGCTTAAGCAATTGTAATTTTCACAGCAAGTAAACTTAGAGGTAAAAAAAAAAAAAACAAACGTAGAGGCTGATGTATGCATTAGTGCTGAAATTAAAGTCAATATTAGAAGAACTGAAAGTAGTGTTTGTGTTGCTAGGTTACAAGGAGATCGAAATTTCTGAGAAAAAGGAGTAGAGTTGTGTTTGGATTTTACAAATTCAACCATGCCTTATTACTTATGTTCTTGCGTTTTTTCCCTTGTTTCATAGTTGCAGTTAGATTGGAGAAGAACCTTAATCAGACTCATCTTTAGCTGAGTTTCCTCACAAAATAACACGTAAGGTTTTTTGAAAATAATGTTTTGATCTTGTCTGTAATTAGAGTTGCTCTATATAATTTTGTGTTTAATTAAGTCATATACCAATTATTTATTTTTCATGGCGCCTTCAAATTATATCGCCTGGGCTACATTGTGTGGTTTCAGTGGCAATGGATGTTGCTGCTTCTGTTACGGCTAATATACTGACCAAGTTAGTAGATGAAGCAATACTTCAAGCTTGCTATCCTTTCCGCTTCAACAAGTATGTCAAAGAGCTTGAAACAGAAAAAGAGAACCTGCAATCGAAAAAACAAGAGGTTCTAGATCGTGCTAAAGATGTGAGGATGAATACTCATAAGGTTGTTGGTAAAGTTGAGAACTGGTTGGACAAAGCAGACTCCCTGATGGCAAAGGTGGTGGAGCTGCAAGAGAAAACAAAGAAAAGAAACAAGATGCCTTGTCTAAAGCATTGTCCAAGCTTGATCAGTCGTTATAATCTGGCAAAGCAGCTTGAGGAGAAGACTAATGAAATTAGAGAGCACAATAAAGTTGAATTCTCGGAGTTTTCTCGACTTACTTCGCTTGTAGGTATGAACTACTTTTCTTCACAAGATTTTGTGGCCTTTGACAGTAGAAAGGGGGTTTGTGAGGACCTTTTGAGGGCTATTAAGGATGATGAGATTCATATGATAGGATTGTATGGCATGGGCGGGTCTGGGAAAACAACTTTGGTAAAAGAAGTGGGCAAAGAAGCAGAGAAATTTTTTGACAAAGTAGTCTTTGTGGTTGTGTCTAATACCATTGATGTAAGAAAAATTCAGAGCGAGATTGCCAGCCCACTAAAGTTGGGATTGAAAGAGGAAGAGACACGAGTGATAGCTAGACGCTTATCCATGAGATTGAGTAGTGGAGAAAGGTTTTTGATTATTCTGGATGACGTATGGGAGAAGCTTAATTTTGAGGACATAGGGATTCCTACTAATAATGATCAAATGGGCTGCACTATTCTTATAACCACCCGCAACTTACATCTATGTAAATCGATGGGTTGCCAAAAAAATATTCCCTTGGAGGGTTTGAAAGGGAATGATTCGTGGGCCCTTTTTAAGAAGCATGCTGGGTTGTCTGATGATTGCTTTGATAAATGGAAGGATATAGCAAAAAAAATTACAAAAAAATGTGATGGTTTACCTATTGCAATTGCAGCAGTAGCCAGTGCTTTGAAGGATAAACCTTTTGATGACTGGGTTGCAGCATGGAAAACATTGAGAGATCCTAGCTGGATAGATATTGAAGATAGTTTAAAAAGCACTTACGGATGTATTCGGTTAAGCTATGATCATTTAGAGAATGAGGTGGCTAAGTCACTCTTCTTATTTTGTTCCGTATATCCAGAAGATTATGAAATTCTTGTTGATAAATTAACCATAATTGGACTAGGCCTTGGTCTAGCAGGAGATATTTCCTCACATTGGTGGGCAAGGACTCAAGTGATCAATAAAGCTATAAAGAAGCTTATAGATTCTTGTTTACTGCTAAAAGTTGATCATGAAGATGGAAGTCATTGCATCAAAATGCATGACTTGGTTCGTGATGTAGCACTATGGATGGCAAAAAAAGAGAGTAAGTTGATTATGGGACAATCAAAAGAGGACATGATAATGAAGGACCATGCAGTAAGATATTTAAGGTTTGAAGGTGTTGATAAATTTCCTAACAAGCTATATTGTCCTGAACTTAAGTTTCTTCATGTCTCCATAAATCCAAAGTCTTTTGTGACTATACAAAATGATTTTTTCAATGATATGGAGAAGCTCAGAGTTTTGATTCTTAAAAGTACTAGATTTTTTGAAACAGATCTAGTAGTTCTTTCATTGCCTGTTTTGGTCCCCATAGAAAATATCTTGTGTTGCCTAATGCTATATGGTTGCCAATTAGGTGATATCTCTTTCATAGGGAACTTAAAAAGACTTGAGTCTCTCACATTGCAGAAGTGTTCTTTCAATGAATTGCCAAAGTACATCATACAACTAAATGAATTGAGATTACTAGATTTGCGTGGGTGTGAAATTCAAAGGAGTCCTTTTGAAGTAATGGGGAGATGTTCACAATTGGAAGTATTATATTTTTGTGGCAATAGTGGAAGAGATTGGGGAGACCAAAATAAAAATAGTGCTGAATTTTTTGATAAAATTAGCACTGCCACACCAGCACTAGAGAGCTATTGCATACATTTTGACCATACCGATGAAGATTCTATTGAACATTCACTTTCGTGGAATTGTCAATCTTTTGTTGAAAGAAATTTATATATTGAAGATTTTGAGAATTGTATTTCAATTGCAGCAAGTAAGGATATGATGAAAAGGGCAAAGACTCTTTCTTTGAGGAGAATTCCTAGAAGTTGGAAAAATATCATTCCTGACCTGTGTCAAACAATAGGAGGAAGTATGAATGAGTTGACTCGTCTTGCTATTCATGATTCAGACGGGATAGAATGCGTGATAGGCCATGCAACTAATATAAGTCAAGTTGGAATCATCTCCAATTTGACTCGTCTAACTCTTTCAAAGGTGAAGCATTTGAAAACTTTGCATAGTGGTCATCCTCCACATGGCCTTTTCGCAAACTTGGAGGGACTTCGTATAGAAAGTTGTGATTCACTTGAGCACATACTGACAGAAGATGTGAAGGAAATAGTTGATGGAAGTGAATATCAGAATTACGAAAATGCATTTCCCAAATTGAAAGGACTTGAAATAGGCAATTGCAAGCAACTAAAATATTGAAATAGGCAATTGCAAGCAACTAAAATACTTAATGCCTATCTCTTTCACAAAGAGCCTTTCACATTTGAAATATTTACGTGTATATGGAAATGATGAATTGAGAAGTTTGTTTGGGCAAGCTCCTTATAAAGGCTTGAATCTGAATAGGCCTCAAATAATTGAGTTTTCTGCTCTGGAGGATCTTGAACTTGAAAACATGCAAAATATCATTAGTATTTGTCCTAAAAATTATCATCCAACGTGGCCTTCTTTGGAAGATCTGAGGTTGAGAAATTGTCTGCGGTTTAATATCAAGTTTATCAATCATTGCGATGTGTATGATGAATTGAGACAGGAGGACAATCAAAGGTCTTCTGAGGTACTATTTCTCTATTTCTAATATTATCAAACTATTCATATAATCTATCATCATCAATATAAAAAATATTAAATCTATATATTATCATACTATATATTCACAATTGTACATGAAGGAAACTTTCTCTGGCCATATTATTTTATATAATTACAACATGTGCATTTATCTAGTTTTTTCACAATGATAATTTGTTAATTGTCTGTACTAGGTGACACAATAATTTTCAAATTTTAATTGCTTAATGTGATTTCTTTTTCACTTCTACAGGACCTATTGAAGGTGGTCGTGGCCGCACTAGAAACTTTAGAGGACCTATTTATTCAACATAATGATGAAGTAGAAGTTGTTTTTGATGTCGGAAAGCTTCCTATCAATAGACAACAAGTAAACTTGAGGTTAGATAACCTTCGTTTGTATGGTCTACCCAAATTGAGGCATATATGGAGGGGTCCCAAAAATTCTTTACTCCTCCAACATCTTCGGCAGTTAGAACTATCCGATTGTGGAAATTTGAAAGAAGTATTCCCTTCATGCATCTTGAAAGAACTCGCACAATTGAGGCAACTTTTCATTACAGACTGTAATGAGTTGGAGGAAATCATTGAAGAAGATTATCAAAATGTGTCGACTTCTCCGAAACCTCTCTTCCCACGACTTGTTTCAATCTACATCAAACGTTGCCATAAGTTGAAATGCATATTTCCTAAGATCTTTGCATGCCGACTGATTCCAAATATAAAGGTATTGTACATAGAAGATACATCTGCGCTTGAGCGAGTATTTGGAGATGAACAGCATGACACAACACACACATACGAGGCTGCCACTCCTGCGTGGGAATTAGAATATGTTGTCCTTCGGAACCTTCCCTCACTCACTTCGGTCAATCCATCCCCTGCTTGGCAAACTTTGAGGCACCTTATTGTGCAACGATGCCCTAAACTATCTCTTACTTCCTCTGTTACTCCTCAAGAAATGCTTGACAAACTGCCCAAAGGTACTACAATATATATACATATATACACATTTATATTAGTTGCCCATTTTTTGTCGACAAGATATATAACAATGTGTGATGAATTCTTACTCCTCGGTATCTTTCTAAACTTAATATATCGATGTAGTTTAATAATATTTTCTGCATGCCACATTCTTCAAGTGTTTAAAATTAAGTATTTTGTATTTTTAAATATAATAATCAACATCAATATTTTATATACTTCAAATAATTTTTTTAAAAAACAGATATAATTTATTTGCATAGAATTGTTATTTTAAATAATTTTTTGGGATTGATGATATGATAGGATATTCTTTCGAGCATCAGAAATTACGGGATCAGTTGAGAGATATTATCAAATCCACGAATGATTCTGACAGAGAAATCACCCAACAAATTGACTATCGAGAAATCGGAGAACAGAGGAATGAGCAAGGATTGACATCTGTTTCTTCACCAAACTTGACACAGGTATGCATATGTCTTCCATCTCTTACTTGAATGCCTAGCAAATCCATTATATCTATTGGATTTGGTCGTGCTCATGCTTGATAGACTTCATCATGTATAATATATGATATAGAATGCATTTATTCACTCATACAAAACAAGAAAGAGTCAGAAGATCGAAGTGCACGAAAGCGAGACATGTTAAGCAGTTGGTTCAGTCAATATTGACTATCTTTTAATGTGGTGTAGAATGTTGAAGGAGGAGCTGAAGAGTGTACTACATCAGAAAATGTTCAGATATCTACTTCATTGGCTCATTCAGAACCGGAAAGCTCAACCAAGGTCAACCTCACTATCTTACTATATTACATCTTGCACTAATATTCTCTTTCTTCCATTTGTGACATTCGTTAACTATGTCTTTTCGGATATGTTGTCCCAGAGTATCAATCAAATAATGCCTGGTTTAGAGGTACCTACAGCAATGCCGACTTCATCTTTACCTCCTCAATTGATTAACAAGCCGTCGACAAGTAATCCTGTAGATATCTCTCTCTCTAAAACACCTGATGATAAAACTGTAAGTGTCCTAAAAGCCTCTAGATTGTAAAAGTATCTGCGAATAAGTTCCTTGTTAAGACTAACCTATTTGATTTTGACTATACATTCAATGATTTTTATATATAAGGAGTTGGTCAATACAATATCAACCAGTCAATCAGATTTGAAGGACCAACAACAACCACTTGCAAAAATTGAAATTTTGAAAAAAGTAATTCCTCATGAAATCCAAGCAATGCACGCGTCATTCATATATATGGTGCAACTTATTCTCACATTTTTCTTCTTTTTGAGCTATGTAGAGTGTTAGAGATCTGGAAGGTCAGAGTACTCAAAAGGAAAAAATATTAAAGGAAAATGTAGGGGGATAAAATTCAACTCTCTACAAGCTAATTCAAAGACTAAATACGTAAAACTTACAGGTTATGACTTATTTCTCTACAGGATGTTAAAGGAAGCTTTGAAGGTTCCCTATCTTCTGAGAATGCTAAGATAACTATCTCATCAACTGATTCAAAATTAGCAAGCTTGCTGCGAGGAACCTTAGTTACTTCTTCGACAAACACAATTCCACATGTAAGCTTTCCAATACTTTTCTTGGCCCAAACGTCATATCTTTTGTTGGCACTTACAAAACTATCTGAGTCTTATATATAGTCATGATTCATGATCTTGTGGCTAAAGAATCGCTAGCAATGATATGAGGATCAAGTAGAAGATTGATATATATATATATATTACTTCTAAAATGATACATGGTTTGATAATGAGTTAAAAAGACTTGTATATACAGCTTTAATCTTAGTGGAAAGGAAAATATTGGTGTTAAAGCTTAGTCTCATGTATTGTTTTTCAAATCCACTTTTTGTTATTAGACTCAGAGTCAAATCGAGTTCAACCCAAGGAAGTCAGATGTTGAAAAAGAGGGGAAGGTGATTCCTGTGATAAATCCTCAAGACTTGAATCATGATGATCTTATCAGCATGCTTCAATCTATGGAGGATGATTATGGTCGTAAATCACCAGTATCATCTGTTCCTACTGTTGCTGCCCCTAAAGATGAACTTGTTGCAAAGGCCCTTGCTGACTTGGAAGACTCCTTGAAGATGCCTCTTAAGGACATAGCAACCTCTGAGGCCAATAGTCTTCGCCTACAAATAGCTCTCAACTTCTTGTCTCGCCTCTCCTTAGAAGATGGAGCTCTATCCCATGGAGTTATGGCTGTGATAAAATCTATGCATAAAGATTTTCCTAACATTTTTTCTTCTTTCAAGCAAGCATTTGCCATTGTCAATAAATTTGCTGAGCTTGAAGATAGAGATAAGAGGATTAAGGAGGAGCTAACTCAACGAAAGGAGGCTGCTATTGCTCTTGTTTCCAAAAAGTCTAAGACCCAGAAGTTTATGGATGAAGCTGAAGAGAAGGAAGCTAGGCTGAAGGAGCAGATCTCTATGTTGGAGAAACAGAGAAAAGATTGTGAGGCTGAATTGTTGTCTCTTGAAGGGCAAAAGAGGAAACATATTGCAGAAACAGAAGAGTTCAGGAAGGAATCTGAGACTGTGAGAAAAGAGAAGTCTGGGATGGTGGACGATCAAAGAAATGCTCGGCAACAATTGTTTCAGGCTGATCATAAATGGTCAGTCTTCGGCAGCCAGTTTGACCAGAACATTGCTAACAGAAATCTCTCTTAATGCATCTTTTGCTTACCTTGGAAGACCAGATAAAGTTTGAGAGACTTTAATACAATTGTTGGACTATTTATTTTTTGTGGAATCTATGTTCTGTAGTTTAGTTGATAGCTCATTTAATGAGCTATCTCCTTGAAGGCTTGAACTAAAACGCATTTCAGGTGTATGTGGTTCTGGGGGATACGGTGAGATACTAATCGATCAATAAAATGGATAAACTTTCACATAAGCTTGAGTTTTCCTTTCATCTCCGTGAAGGTCAAGACACCAGTAGATGGCCGGACACCCTTGCTACCTGCTCTGTGAAATTGCTACAGGAAAAATGTTGGAGAATCTATCATATTATAATTTCTAATAAAAGGTATGGTGATTTTTTTTGAAGACAGTGATAATTTTTAAAGTTTAAAGACATCTTTGTTGATTGCGTGCTACCATGATTTGACTTTTAGCTCATGTTTTTTAGAAAGAGGATTGGGTAGTGTTTAATGATTTTATTGGTTGAACTGGAGATAAAGACTGCTCTCTTCTCTGTTTGTATAGTTTACGGAAGTTTACTTCATCACTTGGTTTTCCTATTAATCTCTGGGGATCCTCATCAACCTCTGCTTTGCTCATTTTTTCCAATCAGACTTGCCTGTATTCATCAGGTTACCATGCAGGGGAATTCATGTTGTGAATCACAAATTTGTCTTTGGTCTTTTCTTTCCTTTGTTTTGTGATTTAGGTATGATGTGAACAAATCTTGGAACTCGTAATTCTCTCTGTTTTTCTGTTTTTTCCCCCTCCGGGGGCTTCTTAATTCTTGTTCATTCCTTTATCTCTTTCCACTCACAGGTGAAATTTTAATTTTATTCAAGATTAACATTTGGTCATTTTGATATTTGTACTCTTCATGTTAGGCTTTTGATTGAGATTTATTTGGTGGGCAACAGATTTTTGATATTGGGCTATTGGAGTTGGGTGAAACTGGAGGAGGGCTTTGCCAAATTGGCAGGCAACCAGACTTGCAGCATTCCATTGGAATTATATCTTTACAATATAATAAGATTATATCATATATCATGCTATTAGAAATTTAAAATGCTTATGTTTGGAATGCCATTTCAAAATTGTCATACTTCCTGTTGATAACAAATTATCATATAAATTTTCTTTGTTTAGCTAATAACCATCGAATGATATTCGAATGCAAGTTGAATATTTTATTTTTATCTTTTCAACTACCCCTCTAACATACTCCCTTTGAATAATCAGATTCAAGACAATCTTTTTTCAAATGCGTTACATTCAACAGCAGAGCTCTACAATTCCAGTGGAAAAAAACAAACACAAATTTGATGAGTACAAGCATGGGTCAGCTCCTAAAGGCCAACTTTTAGCATCTTAGCCTGGCTTTTACAGGAATGAAAAGACAACAAAGTTCAATCTTGATGTTCAAATCTGAATCATCTCTTGAAGCAACCAGACCAGTTCCATCAGTGCTTATAGACTCAGTCCCTGAACAAGATAGCAGACCTGGAAATATTATGGGAATATTCTGAAACTAAATGACTTTTTATATGTACCCCATTTTTTTAACTTGTTAAGTTTTTCATTACCTGTTGCATAATGTGAACTGATTATTTTTATTTCAAAGTACATTCCAACTATATATTTCTTTTATATAGTTAAAGAGGTTTAAACAGACAGAAGGAATGGGAAATCACTTTCAAAAGCTCTGTCTCTTTTTCCTTTTATTATGGAGATAATGAAGAAATAATGTTCGAAACACCACTCTTGTAAAAATGAATATGAAAAAAAAAATTAAGAAGAGATAATAGCAGTGAATTTTAAGGAAAATTATGGAAAGACAACATAGTGAAAAAATGTAATTTGGTAATCACTTTGCTTTATAGTATTATTATATATCATCATCTGAAACTCGTTAAAATTCATAGCGTTAAAATTCATAGTGTGTAAAGACAACATACTGAGATTTTCTTGCATGATTCGGAGAAGAAACTAAAGCTCAACACTGGTTAGTAGCAATATGTGTTTCTGGCTTTGTTGTCGCCTTGTTACTTTGTCTCTCACCCATTACTGTATATTCATTTAAAAGTGATTCTTGATCTTCAATAGTGTTCACAATTTTTCATAGAACATTCAGTTAACCCACTCTTAATTACAACTGGAGATATTGATAAAAATCACAAATTCTTTTCTTTTCTTTCACTACAAAAAAACATGCTTTTAGTGACAGAATTTAGTGACAGAATTTTTATTTAGCGACGGAAACGGATTAGTGACGGAATTTGTTCCATCACTAATTCTTTTGTCGCTAATTGATTAGCAACGGAATTGAAATTTCGTTGCTAATTAGCGACGGACTTTCCGTCGCTAATTACCCACGGAATTTTTCCATTGCTAATCCGTCACTAATTCTTGACAGAAATTTCTGTCGCTAACCTGATTTTTTAAAAAATAAAATAAAATGTCACGTGGCACCTCTACCAATTGCCACGTCATCACTGGAGACCACCTCCACGTGTCGCTACCACCTCACCTTTGCCTGCCATGTATGTGTGCACCACGTGTCACCACCACATAATTCCCTCCTCAAAGTGACTTCTCCATGGCTTGAACCCAAGACCTCCTCCATGCGCACGTGCAGCTTTACCATTTGAGCTGCAATGAATCTTTTGATCTATTATGTAAAATTAAATATATATATTATTTTACACAAACAATTATATATACATATATATTATTAAAAAATAAAAATATACTATATGATAATTTTATTCATAACTATTTTAATGAAAAATAATTTTTAAATATTTTTTTTACTATTTTTTTATAATTTTTTATTTTTTAAAAAATATTTTTAATATAATTTTAATTTCTAACGACACTAATTTTGAATTTTAAATCATAAATAATTTTTTACAAATATTTTTTTAAATTTGTTTTTTAATTAACATTGATAAGATATACAATTTAATTATATATATATTATATTACATTATATTATATTATGTATATGTGTTTTATATATTTGAAGAAAATCATTTACAATTAGTCAAAAAATCTTGTTATTCAAAAAATAACTACTATAATAAAATCTAATAAATTATTTTATATAAAAAATTAAATGATTTAAATAGATTATGATAAATAGTATTCTCTTACTAGTATATATATACCATGTAATTTATTTTCTTAAAATTTGCAACGGAATTTGCGATTGAAACAAATTCCGTCGCTAATTTCTGATGGAATTGTGACAGAATTTTCCATCGCAAATTCCATTGCTAATCAGCTATTTTTTTGTAGTGTTTTCATTTTTTTTTATTTTCTAAAACAATTGAAAATTTTAAATGAAATTAAATAAATTAATTTCTTATTTATATTTTTTTCATTTGTAATTTATTTTAATTATTTTGTATTCATGCGGATGTGGTAGTATTTTAATAAGCATCACCTCAAACCATGTGATCAAGGCATCATATTGCATGGACCTCGAAAATGAAGTTATTAATATATATAAAGAGAATATTGAGACTCGAGAGCAACAAATTTTATAGACATGTTGACTGAAAATAATTTAATGAGAACTAAGAGGGACATTGAGAGTAATAAATTTTAGCAAAATTTTCATTAAACAAAATATGATGATTTGTTATTTGTACGTTAAATGTAGTTAAAACTCATTAAAACATGGAAAGTTCCCTTTCGCCATAACGCTTAAAAGATTTGGGATTTAGTAATTTTTAAGTTTTTTAATATATTTTTCTTAAATTTTACATATATATATTAATTAAAAAAATAGTTGAGAAAGTTCTACTTAAGTATAACGTGTAAGAGATATATTCTACTCCTTCGATCCTTAATGTAAGAACTAATTATTATCTGAGTTTTTTGTTTAGCTAACCCTCTAATATTTGAATGCAAGTTGAATATTTTTTTTTCCCAACTATCCCTCTAACATCCTCCCTTTCAATGATCAGATTCAAGATAATATTACTGCAAATGCATTACATTCAACCCCAGAGTTCTCAAGCCATCCACCTCATAAAGCTGGATCCTTAGCCTTTCCTCCATGAGATCCTCATTTGAAATTGTGTTGCTGTCTCAATTGTGGAACTTGATAAACAAGGAACCTGATCACCCAAAGATTTGGGAAGTTCACAGAGATAAATTGAATCAGAAGGCAGAGCTGAACAATCAAATTGGAAACTTGAATTAACAGAATCCTTCAAATGAAGGTCAAACTTAGAATTGTTTTTCTTCAGATAGTCTCCATGCATCCATGGCATACCAGCATGGAATTACTTACTTTGAAATGTATTAATATTTTTTTCTGTATTAATTTTCCATAATTTTATTTTAGATGTTGTCTGTTACTTGGGTACAGTAAAATACATAGTTCCAAAAATAGCTCTTGGAATATAGGAAATTCTAGATTGGGTTCTGGAATTTTGAAAATGACAGAAAGGGTCAATCACCCAATCTGTCATTTGTAAAATCAAGAAGAATTGACAACTTTACCCTCATTTGTATTCACTATAATGATTTAAGGAATCACTTGACAGATTAGGTCATTGACCCTTTCTGTCATTTTCAAAATTCCAAGACCCAATTTGAAATTTCCTATATTCCAAGGGCTTTTTCTGGAATTTTCCCATTTTTTAGTCCCTAATTAATAATTTTTTAGTATTAACACAATTTTTTTAAAAAAAAACACATATACAACCGGGGTAACTTACCAAACCAGTTGGGTTAACCGAGTTTCTTCCGAGTTGACCCACCTACCATTTTTTCCTGTTAGCCACTTTCCAATCCAATCCGGTTCTCAATACTATGGAAATTATGCTTGAGCTTAAATAGTCATCACAGCTTTTTATAGAATAATGGAACCATTCAGTTAACCCTCTCTTTATTACAATTAGAGATATTGATAAAGATCACCTATTCTTTTCTTTCTTTTCATTTTTTTAAACAATTGAAAATTTTAGATGAAATTAAATGGATTAATTTCTTATTTATATTTTTTCATCTCATTTTTTGTTCTTTTTTTGTAATTGTTTTAATTATTCTGTATTCATGCTGATGTGGTAGTATTTTAATAATAAGCATCTACGTCAAACCATGTGATCAGATCATCATATTGCATGGACCTCGAAAATGAAGTTATCACTATTCATAAAGAGAATATTTAGACTCGAGAGCAACAAGTTTTATAGATACTTTGACTAAAATAATTTAATAAGAACTAACAGCGACATTGAGAGTAATAAATTTTAAGAAAATTTTCATTAAAAAATCTAATTTGTAGTTATTTGTATGTCAAATGTAGTTAAAATAAAACTCATTAAAACGTAGAAAGTTCTCCCTAATCATAATGCGTAAGAGATTTGGAATTTAGTATTTTTCAGGTTTTTTTGTAGACCTTTCTTAAATTTTATATTTATATATTAATTAACAAAATTAGTTTAGAAAGTTCCCCTTAACCATGACGTGTAAGAGACACACTTCAATTTTTGCACAGTTGCGGAGAAAAACTTATATATATATATATATATATATATATTTACACTCTATTTTCTTTTTTTGCCAGCAACTTATATTCTAATTTTGTTATAAAAAAAAACTCATTTTGTTCTTATCATCTCATTATGCAACTGTTCTTAAGAAAAGGACGAATAATTATCTTGAAAATTCACAAAACCCAAATCAGCGCTCCCCAACGAAGAAATCCCAAACCAGGGCAAGGGATTCCAAAATGTGGGCTCCTCCACGCATGACTTACCATTGCAGGAAAACCAAAAGATTTAAAGAAACAAGAGAACTACTTCACTTGTCTTATTTATAAAGTAGGCAGAGAAAAAAAAAATTTAGTTCTGTTCATAGGGTACCGAGCAAAATTTTTTTGTATGGATACACAATTTTATCATTTATTTATTATTGTGTTAAATTTATTTATATGAAGTATAATATATATTAAATAGAGATAAAATTGAAAAATTATTGAATTTTAAATGAAAGTTAATAAAATTTAAGGTTTTCTTTAGTCCGTGTGAAACATGCTAGAAGTGACTTATAAATAGGATTAGAAAAGTATTATTTAAGGCAACAGAAGTAGTGACTAATCATGCGAAAATAAATAAAAAAATGCAATTTGGTAATGACTATAATTACATTTATCCTAGGGCCCTACTGATAAAGAGAAGATTCTTTCAGGTGGCGATACATTAAAATAACACACTGTTGATTCCGTCTCTTTTTTAAAAAAAAAAAAAAATTTGGGCCTACAAGGGATAAAAAATGTACGTATATACTGTTGATGTTGGAAAAAGATTACTCGTAGTGGTTTCAAAGCATTACCAAAAGGGGCCAAGAAAAAACAAATTAAAAGAAGATATGGATCAAGATAATGGCGGACAAGGGGAAGTGGTGGGTGGGCCGTGAAGAATTGATAATGAAGGAACAAGGTACGAAACACCACTCCTGTAAAAATGAAGACAAAGAAACTAAGAAAAGATAATAGCAGCGACCTTTAAGGAAAATTATGAAAAGACAACATAGTAAAAAAAAAAAAAAGTAAAGTAATTTGGTAATCACTTTGCTTCATAGCAGTACTCCTCTTATCTTTAATATAGAGTCCAATTACTAAGTTGAACTTGATCCTAAATATAAGACATATTTATCACATTTATCATTTTTTTCTCCAAATTATCCCTATTGATACTCCCTCAACCATAATCAAATAGGACGTGGAGGAAGAATATTAAGAAAGATGATTATAATATTTAGAAAAAATATGTCATATTTTTTATAATTAACTGACTTATCTAATTTTTTTTAATTTAATCAAATTAGTTAAATAAGTCTTATATTAAACATAAGAGGAATATTATATATCATCCGCATTAAAATTCATAGTGTGTAAAGACAACAAACTGAGATTTTAATTTCTTACATGATTCGGAGAAGAAATTAAAGCTCAACACTGGTTAGTAGCGAATGCGTGCTTCTGGCTTGGCTGTTGCCTTGTTACTTTGTCACCCATTACTGTATATTCATTTAAAAATGATCCTTGATCTTCAATGGTGTTCACAGCTTTTTATAGAACATCCAGTTAACCCACTCTTAATTACGATGGGAGGTATTGATAAAAATCCGTTGTTCTTTTCTTTTTCTTTTCAGTTTTTTATCTTTTTTAAAACAATTGAAAATTTAGGTGAAATTAAATAAATTAATTTCTTATTTATATTTTTCATTTGTAATTTATTTTAATTATTTGCCGATGTGGTAGTATTTTAATAAGCATCACCTCAAACCATGTGATCAAGTCATCATATTGCATTGACCTCGAAAATGAAGTTATTATAAAGAGAATATTGAGACTCGAGAGCAATAAATTTTATAGATATGCTGATTAAAAATAATTTAATAAGAACTAAGAGGGAAATTGAGGGTAATAAATTTTAGCAAAATTTTCATTAAAAAAAATACAATGAGTTGTTATTTATATGTCAAATGTAGTTAAAACTCGTTAAAACATAGAAAGTTCCTCTTAGCCATAACGTCTAAGAGATTCGGATTTAACAATTTTTATTTTTTTATATTTTTCTTAAATTTTATATGTATACATTAATTAAAAAAATAGTTTAGAAAGTTCTCCTTAAGTATAACACGTAAGAAATATATTCTGTTCCTCCGATCTTTAACGTAACAACTAATTATCATCTGAGTTTTTTGTTTACCTAACCCTCTAATATTCGAATGCAAGTTGAATATTTTATTTTTATTTTTTCAACTATCCCGCTAACATCCTCCATTGCAATCATCAGATTCAAGATAATATTATTGTAAATGCATTACATTCAACACCAGAGGTCTAAAGTCATCCATCTCATAAAGCTGGCTCCTTAACCTCTCCTCCATGAGATCCTCACTTGAGATTGCGTTGCTGTCTCCATTGTGGAACTTGATAAACAAGGAACCTGATCATCCAAAAGTTTGGGAAGTTCACAGAGATCAATTGAATCAGAAGGCAGAGCTGAACAATCAAATTGGAAAATTGAATTAACAGAATCCTTCAAATCAAGGTCAAGCATAGAATTGTTTTTCTTCAGATAGTCTCCATGCACCCATGGCATGCCAGCATGGAATTATTTTGAAGTATATTAATATTTTTATTATTTTTCTGTATTAGTTTTCCTTAATGTTATTTTACATGTTGTCTGATGCCTAGGCACAGTAAAATACACAGTGCAACATTAAAAAAATGTGTGTGTGTGTGACAGAGAGAGAGAGAGAGTTTCAAGTGAAGTAAAATGCTAGTTCGGATCCTTAATATAAGAGCTAGTTGACTAATTTGAATAATTACTTAGTTATTTGTAATAAATAGGTGTTGTATATTTTCTAAAATATTCTTGTTAATCAAGTGTATTGGTTAGAACCATTATTATTATAAGGACTACCTCAGAAAAAAATATATAAATGTAAGAGACAAAATGGGTTGAGGTTTTATATTTAGGATCGAAATAAAAGTCAAATAAACTTGTATATTAAGAACGGAAGGTAGTAGTAAATACGCTCTTCAAATTAAGGGAAAAGCAAGCACGTGTGTGCCGTATATATAGGTATGTAACTTGCCATATTCTTCTTATGGGAATATTTTGAAATTAAATGCCTTATCATACGTACCTCATTGATTTTAACTTTTTAAGTTTTCATTACCTGTAGCATAATGTGCAACTGATTATTTTTATTTCAAATTACATTTCAACTATATATTGCTCTTATATATGTCACAGCACTTTGAAACATTGTTTTGGTTATATTAAACGTGCTTTCAGTGTCTGTTGCAACTACTATATACTGAACAGGCTAGTAGATGAAACAATACTCGAAGCTCATTATCCTTTTGGTTTCAACAATTACGTTAAAGAGGTTTAAACAGAAAAAGAGAACTTGCAATCACAAGTACAAGTTTCTGAAGATCGAGCCAAAGATGTAGAGAAAGTTGAGAAATGACTGTATGAAGCATACTCTCTAACGGCAAAAGTGGTAAAGAAGAAGTTTGAATTTAAAGAACAGAGCAGTTTCTTGATGAAGAAGTCTGTGTTCGTGTGTTGGGCCATTGAGGTAAGGAAAATTCAGGACAAGGTTGCAAGCTAACTAATTAAGTTTCGTGATAATAAGCGAGAGCAAGTGTTTGAAATTAATGGAGATGATGAAAAAGGGAAGACGGAGAATGTTAATGAGACTCCAAATTTGAAATTTGCATTACTTTTGGACCTCCCAGGAAATCAAATATGTTCTGCAAACTTAAAATACTTTTTGAATGTTCTCTATCCGGGAATGCTAAATTAGGTACTACATCAACCGATGCGATTATGCTAAATTAATATTTTTTTCATATCACGGTTGATGTTTTTAATATTAGTTCGGTGTATATCAAAATTTTTCTATTTATTAGCCAATCACTATCGTTATGAAAATTGTTAATATCATTATCAAACTTGTTGATAATGTTAAAGAACTTGTCAACCGTGTTACTGGAGTCATAAAAATTTATAAAAAAATAGTTGTCGGCCTCCGGAGTTTTGGTGACCGGTGGCTGGCCAGCTGGTGAGGGTAGACTGAGCCCTTACAAAAAATAAAAGTTGAAGGGTAATAATTTAAATTTTTCAACATTTCAAAATATCAATTTAGTCATTATTAACGGTTAAGTTGGAATTTCTCAAGTTCAAGTGATTATTTGAGATTTTGCAAATTCAATAATTATTTTATTAGGATTTTCTCAAAAAAAAAAAAGAGGACCAATAAAAAGAAAAAATTTCAAGGACCCAATTAAAAACAAAATAAAACTAAAAACACTTGCATATATATATATATATATATATATTTCCTAAATTATATATATACCCATATATTAATTTAAAACAATAGTTTAGAAAGTCCTCTTGATCATAACGTGTAGGAGTATATTTTAATTTTTTGCACAGTAGCGGAGAAAATCTCATATTCTTTTTGCTCTTTTTGCCGACAACTTTGCCGATTTTTCAAATGCTTTTAGGAAACAGACAAATAAGTATCTTGAAAAGTCACGAATCAGCGCTCCCTGGCGAAAAAATCCCAAGCCAGTGCATAGGATTCCAAAATGTGGCTCCACCATACATGACTCCCCACTGTGGCAAAACTAGAACCGGGAAAACAGGCCGAGCCCGTTAGGCCGGTCCTTTTAGGTCCTGAAATTATGAGGGTTGGGCTTGATATTTTTCTCTTAAAATGAGAAATAAGCCCTGGAGGGCCGAGGGCTTAAAAGGGCCGGCCCTGGAGGGTCGCGGGCCGGTCCTTTTAAGCCATTTTATAATTTTTTTATTTTAAAATTTTTTTTATATAATATTAATGTTATTAATTTTTACACTGTTAATAATATTTCAAATATTTAGTATTATTATCATTTTAAAATTAAATTAGTTTTAGACAATAATTTATCTAATTAAATTTTTAAAAAATGGGTTAATTTGGATTTAATAATGATTTGATTATATTATATGCGTTGATATTTTAAACTATATATATATTGATAATAGAATATTTTTATACTTATATAACTTGTGATTCTATAATTTGAATTAGAAATTTATAAGTTTCAAGAACAATGTTTCTCACATTAAGTAAAATAATAGTTAGATTGTAAAATTTAAAAATAAAATTCTTATAAAGAATAAAAACTTGATATTTTTGTTACGAAAGAAAAGCATACTTATGAAGAAAAATAATTAATTATAGTGATGATGAAGTTTCAAAAGATTAATAATAGTGTTATTTATTGCACAATTACATTATAAATAAAACTTTTAGATGTTTTCTTGTTAATGAATGTTTTAGATGTTTTTAGATGTTGATGAATATTTATATATGATAATATTTATATTTGTGACTTAATTTTATTCATATTTATGTCTTTTATTAATAATTTCATTAGTTTATTTTATATTTTTATAAAAAAATATAATAAATATAAAAAAATAGTATTTTTTCTTAAACGGGCCAAAAGCCCGTTGGCCGGCCCTAGCCCTGTAGCTTAAGAGCCGGGCCTCGCAAATTGAGGTATTTTTAAAATTTCAATCCTGGAGGGCCGGCCCTTTTAAGCCCGCCAGCCCTTAAGGGCCGGCCCTGATTCCCGGCTCTAGGCAAAACCAAAACAATTAGGATGTGTTTGGTACAAGGGATTTGGGAGGGGGAGAAGAGAAGGGAAGGGATTTTAATCATTTTCTCTTATTTGGCAACACACAAATTTTAGGAGGGGAGGGAAAAATTTTTAAAATTTCCCCTCCCCTCCCCTCTTCAGCCTCCCCTCCAAAATTGGAAGGATTTGGAGGGAAAAGGTAATATTTTGTCATATTATGATCATTATGTCTATATTTTGTCATGTTGTAACCATTATGTCTATATTTTGTCATGTTGTGACCATTATGCCTACGCCTTAAATAAAATAAGAGCAAAATGTCCATATTAAAATATTTTTCCCTCTCCTCTCTTTTTTTTTTTTATAAATCCAAACAAGATAATATTAAAATCCTTCCACTCCCCTCCCCTCCCCTCCCCTTCCCTCCATTAAAATCCCTCCCCTTCCCTTCCTCTCATTGAGCCAAACATACCCTACGGAAATAGTCACCAGTCATGTGAAAATAAATAATACCTCATGTTTTAATTATAAAATTATTTATAATCTATAAATAAATTTTTATAATTAGGATAAGAGGTAGTGTAAAAAATTTTTAAAAGATAATGGCTAAAGATAATTATGCAAACGTATTATAACCCTCTCGTCCAAAATTTCATTCCCGCGTGAGAGTTCAAATAATTCCCTTTTTATCCCCTTTTTGTAAAGAGAAAATTCAAAGTACCTTCTATTTTTTTTTTTCAATAGCGTTGCACATGATAAATTATAGTGCTCGTTAATAATTTTTGTAGTTCAAAATCACGCCAAAAAAGGATAATAGTATTTTTTTGGTTGAAAAAATTACAATAAGATTCTAAGAGAATTAAATACAAAAAAATTTCTTAAAATTATCAAATTATTCTAAAGTCTCAATAGATCTTATTATAAAACATTTTATTTGTTTAATTATCAAATTATCCTTTATTTTTACAACATGCATTAATAATTGAAAGAGTAGCCGTCAACATTTAGAACATAATGATTAACAATTATTACGATAAGTATTAACAATACATTTTATCACCACATTACAAAAATGTAATGTATAAGTTGTTAATAAGCTAGAAGAATATTCTGGGAATCTTTTTTTTTTTTTTTTCTCAAAATCTCATTTCTATTATTTTTAATAATATTAAATAAATAGGAGAGAGAATGTGTACATTCATTTTTTAAAATATTAAATGTGAAACGTTGATTTTTTAATCCAATGATGGATATGTGCCAACTGCCTCTGGCACCGTCATTTCAGAGGTTCCCCCAATCTCTCAGCTCTAGTCCACATCGACCTCTGCATTTACCTTGCTTTCAATGCTACAAACAAACAGTAAAAAAAAAAAAACAAACAAACAAACAAAATTAAGAGCGAGCTTAAAATGTGAAGAATTCGTTTCCGCATGAGCTTGCCCGTCAGAGAGAAAAGTGAACTTGTTCATGTCATGAACGAGTTCACCTTTCCCTCTCTCTTTTTCATGATACTTCATCCAGCAAATAGTCAAATGCGACCCTGCCTGGTTAAGAGATTCAACGTTTACCCTTTTTTTTTAATAAAAAATTACAGATATCTTTTAAATTAAAACTTTAATATATCAGCAACTTCATAAAAAAAAAAAGAAGAAGAGAGAAATCAAAATACTTTTTAAACACATGCTACCATTGATGGATAATATTATGGTTAAAACAGACTCACTGAGTATTTTCTTATAACTTATTACTCGCTAGTGTTTGGAGATCATCAAAAACGCTTTTAACAAAATATTTTTATATAAGTTGAAACAAAATTTATCTTACATATTTACCTCATAGTGTGTAAAATTACTTCTAAAAAGATAATCCAAACACCCACTAAGTCCTAATTTCAAACTACTGTTTCTATGGTCTTATTTATAAAGCTAAGAAATTTTTTTTTCCATAATTAAGTTTTTAACATGAATGTATTATTTTAACTTTTATTTATTATTATTCATAGAAGCTAGGAAAAACAGTAAATCTGGTTAACTCTTACTTAAAATTTAACAACTTTTTAACTTCACTTATATTTAATATAAACAATTTTCAAGAAAATAATAATTTAAACAATAATAAATAAAGAGGTAAAATAATACATTCATGCTAAAAATTTAATGATCTAACTTATAAATAGAATTAGAAAGATAGTTTAAAATACTGAATATATTAAAGTTTACAATTTTTTTTGGTACAAATATCTTTTTACTAAAGCTTTAATGTGTCACCAATTTCATGAAAAAAAATGAAGGCAAACAAAATACTTTTTCCAGACACAACCTTATAGTTTTCACATGTGAAGGTAATATGGGGAGACAAGTTTTTAAATTGGTGGAAGAATTATTACGGGAAAGGGAGAGGGAAAGCTCAACTTATTCATGGCGTGGACAGGTTCACTTTTCTCTCAATAAAAAATAAATACTCCCTCGGTCTTGAGTATAAAACTTTTACACATACTAATATAAGAGTCTTACATTTAAAATCGAACGAGTATGTTAGATGTGGCAGAGTGATGTGATGGGAGATTCTTTGCATCAAAGAGTATTTTAAGTGTAGTATTTTGGTCCAGGCTAAAAAAAAAAAAAGCATAGCATTTTTTATAAATATTTTTTATCATTTAGAATTTTGGTTTTTTCTTTTTACTGGTTGCGGCATCTTGAAAAAAAAAAAAGCCGCGCTTACTTGTTGTGAAAGTCACAGTTTGTTATTCAAGATGAAATTGATTTGAATAAATTAAAAAATTATTTGTTTTATTTTGTTTCATCTCATATTACAAACAAATAATCGTGATTTTGTTTGAATCTTCCGAAGAAGAGGATGAAAAAGAGTATAAATAATGTAGATGGGTGGTTGGGACTCTTTATTATAGCCTTTGGTACTGCATAGGATTCCAAAATTTGGGCTCCTCCGTTTATGACCCACCACTGCCGGGAAAGCAAAACAATTTAAAAAGTAAATAAAGGAGCTCCAGATCAGGACAACGGAAGTAGCGACTGATCAAGTAAAAATAAATAAAAAGAAAAAACTAAGAAATATAAGACATTAATAAAATGCAATTTGACAATGAATACAATTACATTGATCCTAGGGCCCTAATGATGAGAAGATTCTTTCAGATGGCGATATATAATTGCAGGGTTTCATATTTATACAAACAACCTCTGAAACATGACACAATGTATTATGACGGGCTTTATCCACTCCCTTAATATTTTATAATATGTGCTTGCACCTGTTTGTATTAAACTATTAAAAGCATGACTTTGAAGACCCTCGGGTGAAAAGGAGAGACTTGGTATGAATAAAGTCTCACTTGGTCAAGTCTCAAAGTCTCTGTACTGAAAGTGTGCGAGAGAGAGATATCACTGCTACTTTCTGGCTTCTGGGTGTACTGAGATTCAATTTGGTTGCTTCATTTGGAGAAGATCGAAATTAAAGCTCAATACAGAGGTTAGTATGTGGTCTGGGTTTGTTGTTGCATTTCTTAGTCCATGACCCTTTTACTGTATATTCATTTAGGTATGATCTTGTGTCTATATTATGATTCTTGATCTTGAGTAGTGTTCGCAGTTTTGTACAGAACATTCAGCTAACTCACTAATATTGGAGTTATTGATTAAATCTCTCACTGTTTTCTAGAAATTTAGAAGCTACAAGTATAGGTGGAGAAACAGAAATTTCTAGATACAGTTTTTTAATGGCCGTGAGGCTGTGAAAATTGAATGTTGAAGGAGGCTGTGGATGAGGTCATAGTATAAATAAGGAACTTGACGTGAAAGCTTAAGCAATTGTCATTTTCACAGCAAGTAAACTTAGAGGTAAAAAAACAAACGTAGAGGTTGATGTATGCATTAGTGCTGAAATTAAAGTCAATATTAGAAGAACTGAAAGTAGTGTTTGTGTTGCTAGGTTACAAGGAGATCGAAATTTCTGAGAAAAAGGAGTAGAGTTGTGTTTGGATTTTACAAATTCAACCATGCCTTATTACTTATGTTCTTGCGTTTTTTCCCTTGTTTCATAGTTGCAGTTAGATTGGAGAAGAACCTTAATCAGACTCATCTTTAGCTGAGTTTCCTCACAAAATAACACGTAAGGTTTTTTGAAAATAATGTTTTGATCTTGTCTGTAATTAGAGTTGCTCTATATAATTTTGTGTTTAATTAAGTCATATACCAATTATTTATTTTCATGGCGCCTTCAAATTATATCGCCTGGGCTACATTGTGTGGTTTCAGTGGCAATGGATGTTGCTGCTTCTGTTACGGCTAATATACTGACCAAGTTAGTAGATGAAGCAATACTTCAAGCTTGCTATCCTTTCCGCTTCAACAAGTATGTAAAAGAGCTTGAAACAGAAAAAGAGAACCTGCAATCGAAAAAACAAGAGGTTCTAGATCGTGCTAAAGATGTGAGGATGGATACTCATAAGGTTGTTGGTAAAGTTGAGAACTGGTTGGACAAAGCAGACTCCCTGATGGCAAAGGTGGTGGAGCTGCAAGAGAAAACAAAGAAAAGAAACAAGATGCCTTGTCTTAAGCATTGTCCAAGCTTGATCAGTCGTTATAATCTGGCAAAGCAGCTTGAGGAGAAGACTAATGAAATTAGAGAGCACAATAAAGTTGAATTCTCGGAGTTTTCTCGACTTACTTCGCTTGTAGGTATGAACTACTTTTCTTCACAAGATTTTGTGGCCTTTGACAGTAGAAAGGGGGTTTGTGAGGACCTTTTGAGGGCTATTAAGGATGATGAGATTCATATGATAGGATTGTATGGCATAGGCGGGTCTGGGAAAACAACTTTGGTAAAAGAAGTGGGCAAAGAAGCAGAGAAATTTTTTGACAAAGTAGTCTTTGTGGTTGTGTCTAATACCATTGATGTAAGAAAAATTCAGAGCGAGATTGCCAGCCCAATAAACTTGGAATTGAAAGAGGAAGAGACACGAGTGAGAGCTAGACGCTTATCCATGAGATTGAGTAGTGGAAAAAGGTTTTTGATTATTCTGGATGACGTATGGGAGAAGCTTAATTTTGAGGACATAGGGATTCCTACTAATAATGATCAAATGGGCTGCACTATTCTTATAACCACCCGCAACTTACATCTATGTAAATCGATGGGTTGCCAAAAAAAAATTCCCCTGGAGGGTTTAAAAGGGAATGATTCTTGGGCCCTTTTTAAGAAGCATGCTGAGTTGTCTGATGATTGCTTTGATAAATGGAAGGATATAGCAAAAAAAATTACAAAAAAATGTGATGGTTTACCTATTGCAATTGCAGCAGTAGCCAGTGCTTTGAAGGATAAACCTTATGATGAGTGGGTTGCAGCATTGAAAACATTGAGAAGTTCACGTTGGATAGATGTTGAAGAAGGTCTCAGAGGTACATATGGATGTCTTCGGCTAAGTTATGATAATTTAGAGAATGAAGTGGCTAAATCACTCTTCTTATTTTGTTCTGTGTATCCAGAAGATTATCAAATTCAGATTGATCAATTAACCATAATCGGACTAGGGCTTGGTCTAGCTGGAGAGATTCCCTCATATCAATGGGCAGGGACCCAAGTAATCAATAGGGCCATAAAGAAGCTTGCAGATTCTTGTTTACTCCTAAAAGCTCATGAAGATGGTAGTCATGTTAAGATACATGACTTGGTTCGTGATGTAGCTCTATGGATAGCAAAGAAGGAGAGCAAATTGATTATGGGACAATTAAAAGAAGATATGATAATGAAGGACCATGCAGTAAGATATTTATGGTTTGAAGATATTGATAAATGTCCCAACAAGTTACATTGTCCTGAACTTAATTTTCTTTATGTCTCCATAAAGTCACAGTCTTCTGTGACTATACCCAATGATTTTTTCAATGATATGGAGAAGCTCAAAATTTTTATTCTTAAAAATACCTATTATTTTATACAAGATTTAGTAGTTCTTCCACTGCCTCTTTGGGCCCCCAGGGCAAATATCTTGTGTTGTCTAATGCTATATGGTTGCCAGTTAGGTGATATCTCTTTCATAGGGAACTTAAAAAGACTTGAGTCTCTTGCATTGTGGAGGTGTTCTTTCAATGAATTGCCAAAGTGCACCATACAACTAAATGAATTGCGATTACTAGATTTGCGTTGGTGCAGAATTCAAAAGAATCCTTTTGAAGTAATAGGAGGATGTTCACAATTGGAAGTATTATATTTTTGTGGCAATAGTGGAAAAGATTGGGAACACCAAAATAAAAATAGTGCTGAATTTTTTGATAAAATTAGCACTGCCACACCAACACTGGAGAGCTATTGCATACATTTTGGCAGTGATGATGAAGATTCTTGGTATCATAGACGTATATCTTGTTGTCATTCTTTTGTTGAAAGAAATTTATATATTGAAGATTTTGAGAATTGTATTTCAACTGCAACAAATAAGGATATGATGAGAAGGGCAAAGACTCTTTCTTTGAGGAAAATCCCTAGAAGTTGGAAAAATATCATTCCTGACTTGTGTCAAACAATAGGAGGAAGTATGAATGACTTGACTCGTCTTGCTATTCATGATTCAGATGGGATAGAATGCATGATAGGCCATGCAACTAATCCAAGTCAACTTGGAATCATCTCCAATTTGACTCGTCTAACTCTCTCAAAGGTGAAGCATTTGAAAACTTTGCATGGTGGTCATCCTCCACATGGCCTTTTTGCAAACTTGGAGAGACTTTGTATAGAAAGTTGTGATTCACTTGAGCACATACTGACAGAAGATGTGAAGGAAATAGTTGATGGAAGTGAATATCAGAATTACGAAAATGCATTTCCCAAATTGAAAGAACTTAAAATAGGCAATTGCAAGCAACTAGAATACTTAATGCCTATCTCTTTCACAAAGAGCCTTTCACATTTGGAATATTTACGTGTATATGGAAATGATGAATTGAGAAGTTTGTTTGGGCAAGCTCCTTATGAAGGCTTGAATCTGAATAGCCCTCAAATAATTGAGTTTTCTGCTCTGAAGTATCTTCAACTTGAAAACATGCAAAATATCATTAGTATTTGTCCTAAAAATTATCATCCAACATGGCCTTCTTTGGAAGAGCTAGGGTTGAGAAATTGTCTGCGGTTTAATATCAAGTCTATCAATCATTGCGATGTGTATGATGAATTGAGACAGGAGGGCGATCAAAGGTCTTCTGAGGTACTATTTCTCTATTTCTAATATTATCAAACTATTCATATAATCTATCATCATCAATATAAAAAATATTAAATCTATATATTATCGTACTATATATTCACAATTGTACATGAAGGAAACTTTCTCTGGCCATATTATTTTATATAATTACAACACGTGCATTTATCCAGTTTTTCCACAATGATAATTTGTTAATTGTCTATACTAGGTGACACAATAATTTTCAAATTTTAATTGCTTAATGTGATTTCTTTTTCACTTCTACAGGACCTATTAAAGGTGGTCGTGGCCCCACTAGAAACTTTAGAGGACCTATTTATTCGACATAATGATGAAGTAGAAGTTGTTTTTGATGTCGGAAAGCTTCCTATCAATAGACAACAAGTAAACTTGAGGTTAAATAACCTTAATTTGCGTGATCTACCCAAATTGAGGCATATATGGAGGGGTCCCAAAAATTCTTTACTCCTCCAACATCTTCAGCGGTTAAACCTATCCAATTGTGGAAATTTGAAAGAAGTATTCCCTTCATGCATCTTGAAAGAACTCCCACAACTGAGGGAACTTGACATTACAGACTGTAATGAGTTGGAGGAAATCATTGAAGAAGATGATCACAATGTGTCGACTTCTCCGAAACCTGTCTTCCTAAGACTTGTTTCAATCTACATCAAACGTTGCCATAAGTTGAAATGCGTATTCCCTAAGATCTTTGCATGTCGACTGATTCCAAATATAAAGGTATTGTACATAGAAGATACATCTGCGCTTAAGCAAGTATTTGGAGATGAACAGCATGACACAACACACACATACGAGGCTGCCACTCCTGTGTTGGAATTAGAATATGTTGTCCTTTGGAACCTTCCCTCACTCACTTCGGTCAATCCATCCACCGCTTTCCAAACCGCGAGGCACATTATTGTGCAACGATGTCCCAAACTATCTCTTACTTCCTCTGTTACTCCTCAGGAAATGCGTGACAAACTATTGGAAGGTACTACAATATATATACACATATACACATTTATATTACTTGCAACTTTTTGTCGGCAAGACATATAACCATCCATGATGAATTCTTACTCCTCAATATGTTTCTAAACTTAATATATGGATACAGTTCAATAATACTTTCTGCATGCCACATTCTTCAAGTGCTTAAAATTAAGTATTTTGTATATTTAAATATAATAATCAAAATTAATATTTTATATGCTTCAAATAATTTTTCTTTTCAAATAGATATAATTTATTTACATGCAATTGTTATTTTAAATAATTTCTTTGGGATTGATGATATGATAGGATTTTGTTGGGAGTATGAAGGATTATGGCGGGGTTTGAGTGATATTATCGCATCCACGAATGATTCTGATAGAGAAATCACCCAACAAATTGGTTGTCAAGAAATTGGAGACCAGAGGAATGACCAAGGATTGACATCCATTACTTCATCAAACTTGAAACAGGTATGCATATGTCTTCCATATCTTATTTGAATGCCCAGCAAACCCATTATATCTATTGGGTCCTGCTCATGCTTGATAGACATCATAATGTATAATATATGATATAGAATATATTTATTCACTCATACAAAACAAGAAAGAGTCAGAAGATGGAAGTGCGCAAAAACGAGACATGTTAAGCAAGTGGTTCAGTCAATATTGACTATCTTCTAATGTGGTGTAGAATGTTGAAGGAGCTGAAGAGTGTACTATATCAGAAAATGTTCAGATATCTACTTCATTAGCTCATTCAGAACCGGAAAGCTCAACCAAGGTCAACCTCACTATCTTACTATATTACATCTTGCACTAATATTGTCTTTTTTCTGCTTGTGACATTAGTTACGTATTTTTGGATATGCTGTCCCAGAGTATCAATCAAATAATGCCTGGTTCAGAGATACCTGCAGTAATGCCAACTTCATCTCTACCTCCTCAATCAGTTAGCAAGCCGTTGACAAGTAATCCTATAGATATATCTCTACCTAAAACGCCTCATGATGAAACTGTAAGTGTCATAAAAGCCTCTCAGACTACAAGAGTATTTGCAAATAAGTAGACTAACCTATTTGATTTTGACTATATGTTCATTGATTTTTATATATAAGGAGTTGGTCAATACGATATCAACCAGTCAATTGGATTTGAAGGACCAACAACAATCACTTGAAAAAATTGGAATTACAAAAAATGAAATTCCTCATGAAATCGAAGTAATGCAAACATCATTCATATATATGGAGCAACTTATTCTCCCTTTTTTCTTCCTTTTGGGCGATGCAGATTATTAGAGATCTAGAAGTTCAGAGTGCTCAAAAGGAAAATGTATCAAGGGAAAATGTAGGGGATAAAATTCAACTCTCTACAAACTCATTCAAATACTGTAAAACTCACGGATCATAATTTATCTCTCTACAGGTTGTTAAACGAAGCTTTGAAGGTTCCCTATCATCTGAGAATGCTAAGATAACTACCTCATCAACTAATTCAAAATTAGCAAGCTTGCTCCCTGGAACCCTAGCCATTTCTTCAACAAACACAATTCCACTTGTAAGCTTTCTAATACTTTTCTTGGCCCAAACGTGATATCTTTTGTTGGCACTTATAAAACTATTGAGTATTATATATAGTCATGATTCATGATCATGTGGCTATAAAATTGCCAGCAATGATATGGGAATCTAGTGGAATATATGTATATAGCTTTTTAAATGAAACATGGTTTGATAATGAGTTAAAAAGACTTCTATATAAAGCTTATATCTTAGTAGAATGGAAAATGTTGTTGAAGCTTAGACTCATATGTGAGATGATATATAACAGGTTTTAATTTATTTCTCTACAGGATGTTAAAGGAAGCATTGAAGGTTCTCCATCATCTCGGAATGCTGAGATAACTACCCCTTCAACTCATTCAAAATTAGCAGGCTCGCTGCCTGACATCTTAGTTACTTCTTCGGCAAACACGCTTCCACATGTAAGCTATCTGCTTTTCAAGGTCCAAATATAATGATACCTTTTGTGGGAATTATCAAATTTTCTGAGTGTTATGTATAGTCATGATTTATGATTTTGTTGCTACACAATTGCTAGCAATAGTATGAGAATCAAGCAAGAGATATGCATAGCTTTTATTGAAAAGAAGTTAAGATACTTGTATATATAGCTTTTATCCTAGCATAATGGAAAATATTGTCGTAGCTTAGGACTCGTGTGCTGTTTTTCAAATCCAATTTTTATTCTTAGATTCATGGTCAAATCAAGTTCAACACAAGGAAATCGGATGTTGAAGAGGATGGGAAGGTGATTCCTGTGACAAATCTTAAAGACTTGGAAGATGATGATCTCATCAACATGCTTCAATCCATGGAGGATGATTATAGTGGTAAAACACCAACATCATCATCTGTTCCTACTGCTGCTGCTGCTGCTAAAGATGAGCTTGTTGCAAAGGCCCTTAGTGACTTGGAAGACTACTTGAAGATGCCTCTTAAGGACATAGCAACATCAGAGGACTATATTCTTCGCCTTCAAACAGCTCTCAACTTCTTGTCTCGCCTTTCCTTGGAAGATGAAGCTCTATCCCATGAAGTTATGGCTATAATAAAGTCTATGCACAAAGAGTTGCCTAACATTCTGTTATCTTTCAAGCAAGCATTTGCTACTGTTAATAAATTTGCAGAGCTTGAAGAAAGAGATAAGAGGATCAAGGAGGAGCTAACTCAACGAAAGGAGGTTGCCACTGCTCTTGTTTCCAAAATGTCCGAGACCCAGAAGTTTATGGATGAAGCTGAAGAGAACGAAGCTAGGCTGAAGGAGCAGATCTCTAGGTTGGAGAAAGTGAAAAAGGATTGTGAGGCTGAATTATTTTCTCTGCAAGAGCAGAAGAGGAAACATATTGTAGAAACAGTAGAGTTCAAGAAAGAGTTCGAGACTGTGAGGAAAGAGAAGTCCGAGATGGCAGAAGATGAAAGAAAGTCCCGGCAACAACTGTTTCAGGTTGATCATAAATGGTCAGTCCTAGGAAGCCAGTTTGAGCAAAACATTGCTAATAGAAATCTCTAATCATGCTTCCTTTGCTTATTTTGAAAGACCAAATAAAGTTTGAGAGGTTTTTAATACAATCACTGGACTATTTATTTGTTGTGGGATATGTGCGCTGTAATACTGTTGATAGCTTATTTGAGCTATCCACTTGTACTAAATTTTCCCAAGCTATCCTTTGCTCATAGAAATGTTTGTATGTTCCTCAAAATTGTTTCTATGAGAATCGAATCCAAATAATCCGGTTGTTCAATCACTCATGGAAAAATTGATGGAGGTGGGTGGTGTGAGCTAAGAGTGCGAATAAATCTCACCTTGGATATGAATTAACTAAATAAGTTATATATACGTTAAATAAATTTATAAACTTGAATTAAAATAATTCAAAGGGTTGTCAATGATGTTGAGAAATGGTTATATTAAAAGCAGACTGTTTTGCTGGAAGAGATTAAGTTTGAAAAACATATTAAATTGGTTACTAGACATGAAAGATATTTATGGATCAATAAAATGGACAGACTTTCACGTAAGCTGGAGTGTCCCTAACTTGAATTTCTGTTCATCTCAACGAAGTTTGAGACCCCTATATATGTAACCAATGATATTTTTGAAAGTACGATGAAGCTTATAGTGTTGGTTCTTGAAAATGAAAAGAGTTCTGATGAACAATCAATTCTGCAATGGTCAAGGGTACTTCCTGTGGACAGTGGTCAACAATATTCTACGATGCCTGTTCCTAAATAAATGGCTATTAGGTAACATCTCCTTTTTACAAAGCCTAGAAAGACTCAAATCTCTTAAATTATGGTGGGATTTTTGTTTCTATGAAATATAAATGCATTTGGACAGAACTTCAAATTATATTCTTCATTGTTTTGTTCTTTGAATTAGTATTCATACTTTATCATTGCAAAAACATTCATGCAGAGCTATAATTCCTCTTTGCTAAGTAAGCTATGCTATGATCATATATTTGATTTCTTCAAAAGGTTTAAATATAAAGGACAGCCAGGGAATCATTCCAATATGACTTACATGAGAAAGAATGTAACTACAATTAATACACATGGATTAGATTAACAATCATTAATAATGCAATTAATGTATGAACTCTCTAAGCTATCCTCCTCAAATGCAATTTTCTTCGGCCTCTCTAACATATTTGTCCTTGCCATTATTCTTCTTTCCCTCTAAATGGTGGCATGCTGCACCACAATATTCTGATGGATCAATCGTTTCTCTTCTTGTGACATCGACTATCAAACTGGTTAGTTTTCTCTGTTTCCTTTTCTTTTTTTTTTTTTTAAATATGAATAAAACTGATGAAGGAGCAACATTCTCCTGCAAGAAGAAAAAGGATCTGCAAGCAAATGGCGTCTGCTGTCCAATTGTATATCCCTTCCATACAAATCATCAAACCTGCAATAAAGTCAGATATAAGAATTTAATACAAACTTGCTATATAGGATCATCGAGTGGATAGCTTTGCGGACTGCCACAGGACATCTATTAGATCATGTACAATCAATAGAGAACACACACAAACACATTCACATTCACATGACAAACGTTGAGTGCTTATATGACGATATTTAAAAAAAAAAAAAAAAGGTCTAGTTTTAGGCCTCCGTTAGAACTAATTGATCTGGATAGAGTTTTTCCAGTTTGGTAATTATATGTAACTTGACTTTAAAAGAGAAAAGAGTGTCTGATCCAATGTCACATAATATATTTACTTCTGTATGGAAGAGCCAAGTCACACAATCGAAGATGAGATGAGAAAAAGGCTTGGAAGCCAATCAAGCTAAAAATCATTGGGCCTTGTATATTTATCCTAATCAGCTGTGTTTTACAGGGGATTTAGCAGTGGAAGTGGCTGATTTCCTAACTCATTTGTGAGGGTGGGATTTTAACAAGTTAAACTTTTAAAGCAATGGCTTCCTCGATGGGTTCTTGATTGCATTGCAAGAATAGAGCCCCCACATGCAGTAAAAGAGGAGAAGACAGAGTCGACAAACATTTCATCACGGAATAATGTGCCTAATGTACGTGCCAACAAAGAAACAAGTTGATGATGTTCTCATCAAGGGACCTCCAACAAAAAATTTTGACGAATGCATAAGCAAGTTGGTTATGATCAATAACTATGATCCAATGTTATATAATCATAACAATAATATAAATATATTCAGGACTTAGTTAGCCATTGGAAGGGGATATTAACGCTTCTATAAACAGAACCATTCAAGTCACTTGTAGACTATGACCGTTTGAATGAATACGGCAGTTTGACTCAGTTCTTCAGTTCTCTCGCTGTTTCTCCCTTTTTTTCTCTCTTCTCCTCTGTTTTCCCTCTCTTTCTCTCCTCCTTCCCTCTATTCCCAAATCCAGGTTACATACCTCATAACATCCAACTTGAGGGGAAGTATGGGAATATCTTTGCTTCTATTGTAAATACTACCTTCAGTCCTTAATATAAGAGCTAGTTGACTAATTTGAATAGATTAAGAAAACTAGTTAAGTTAATTATTTGTAATAAATAAGTGTTATCTTTCCTAAAATATCTTTGCTAATCAAGTATATTTGGCTAGAACTACTATTATTACAAGGACTAACTTAGGAAAAAAAAAGATAAATATGAAAAATAAAGTGAATTAAGGTCTTATATTTAGGACTAAAATAGAATCTAAACGATCTCTTATATTTAAGGACCAGAAGTAGTATTTTCTAAGATAGGGTTAGTGACTAGCAGGTGATCGTATAGCATCACACGTGAATTGATACTAGCAGCAGGAAAATATATTCAGTGAGAGGAGCACATGGCATAATACATTATTTTGCAGACTTTTAATGTATACATATATATAGATATAAACGCCATAAGAAATATCAGTTGGATCAAAGTCAAATTCTGTCCTAGTTGTACATCAATCCTTCACAAGCAATGTTTTGGGCTTTGTGACTTCCTCTTTTGATTAAAGAATCCTAACAAAACAATTCAGTCATATTATCAATGAAGGAAAGGACCAAATCATCCAAAATTATGGTTCAAAAGTAGTTAATATTCATTTTTATAATTATTTTATACCACTGGTCTAACTAGTTACACCAATCAACTACAAGCGGCTAGCCGTTCTAATTCATTAACAGAGCCAGGATGTGAAAATTGTTCACAAGAAAATTATTCCAAGAAAAGATTACAAACAGTTGACCGCTAATAAATGTTCTTTTTGTCAAAAAACCTAGCATAAGATAAGGCATTAAGTACCAGTAAATGGTTGTCATCATAAAATTCAGGTGTAATTATGATAATACGACCTTTTCATGGATGTTCTATCATTTCACTCCACAGATTTCACAAGCAATATAATTCAATGTGCACCCATCTCCGCAACAAAGATGGCATTTAGGTCGATCAAAGGTGCTAGAAAAACCTTCTGAGGGGGCAAGATGCTTTTTTCTTCTTAATCAGCATTACTCGTTCATCACGTGGCTTTGTGGACAACCTAAGACCATTAAGCCAGTAACTGTTACCCACGAGTTCTTTGCTTACGCTCAGAAGTTACCGCTGTCTTAGAATGAGAAGTTGTTTCCTTGGGCTTCCTATATGCCCCCTTCTTTGATTTACTTTTCTTTGCTTTTTTTAGGTCCCACATTCCTTTTCTTTTGCACATGCAAGCATTTGGCCTTCCTGGCTGAACAGCGAAGAGGTATACTTGACGGGACCTTTTTATTGGTTTGAGATTTTCCTTGCCGCCTCTTACTCAATGGCTTTTTGCTTAACTCGGCTCCCTCGACCCTTTTCGTGACTGAATAATCCCTAGTTTTGGGTCAAGTTTTCTTCTTTTAGAATCAGAATTTACATACATCCCATCCCGGCATCTGTGACATGAATTTGTGCCTTCAACAGACTTGCAGAGTTTTGCCAAACTGGAAGAATCCTGTCCATTATACCATAGAAATCAGATATTGGGTGGAACTGGAACAGAGTGTTGCCAAATTGGCAAACAGACTTGCAGCATTTCATTGGAATTTTATGATCTTTAATATAAAATAAGATTATATCACATATCGTGTTATAAGAAATTTAAAATGCTTATGTTTGGTATGCAATTTGGAAATTGTCATTCTTCCTGTTGATAACAAAGTCTCGCATGAATTTTTTGTTTAGCTAACCCTCCCATATTCAAGTGCAAGTTGAATATTTTGTTGAATGTTTTGCCCTTATTTTCTCAACTACCACTCTAACATTCTCCCTTTCAATGATCAGACTCGAGATAATCTTATTGTAAATACTACCTCTAGCCTTTAATATAAGAACGAATTGACTAATTTGAATAGATTAAGCAAATTAATTAAGCTAGTTATTTATGCTAAATGCTACCTTCAGTTCTAATTATAAGACCTTGTTTGTAATCTACAAACAAGGTCTTATAATTAGGACCGAAAGTAATAGTTGTTATCTTTTCTAAAATATACTTGCGAATGATGTATATTAGCTAGAACTTTCATTTAATGAAACATTTAACATATGCAAGTATGCAACTATTACAAAAATTATCTTACGAAAAAATGAATAAATATGAGAAATAACTTGAATTGAGGTCTTATATTTAGAACCAAATTAAATATCAAACTAATTTTTATATTAACGACCGGAGGTAGTACATTACATTCAACACTAGAGATCTAAAATACCAGTGGAAAGTCAAACACAACTTTTATGAGTACAGGCAGAGGTCAACTCCTAAAGACCAACTTTTAGCATGTTAGTCTAGCTCTCACGGGAACGAACGGACGACAAAGTTTAATCTTAATCTTCAAATAATGTATTCTTGTAGCATAACATCCAATCTGAATCATCTCTTGAAGCAACCAGACCAGTTCCATCAGTGCTTATAGACTCAGCCTCCGAACAAGATAGCAGACCTGGAGATATTTCTTTGCCCAATCCCTCAATTCTCAGCGGTTTATCATCAGTTTCAGTGATTTTGACATCACTATCCAACTTTTTATCAAAGTCTACTTTGTCATTGACTTTAGGAACATAATGGATGGGTAAATCGTTGCTGTTGCAATCATTAGCAAGGTCTTCCTCATCTGACAAGCATTTGCAACAATCAAAGTCATCCATCTCATAAAGTTGGCTCATTAACCCTTCCCTCCATGATATCCTCATTTGAGACTGTGATGCTGTGTCAATTGTAGAACTCGATAACCAAGGAACCTGATCATCCAAAAATTTCGGAAGTTTACAGACATCGATTGAATCAGAAGGCAGAGCTGAACAATCAAATTGGAAACTTGAATTAATAGAATCCCCCAATGGCACAGACATGAAGCTTGCTGATGGAATGGCTTCACCTATGGAATCAAGGTCAAGCTTAGAATTGCTTTTCTTCAGATAGTCTCCATGAACCCGTGGCATGCCAACATGGATATCTGAACTGAAGTCTGACTGTGGAGTTTGAATAACATTTCCACTACTCAATGAATTGAGTGAGTATGGAGAGTTCTCTTCAATACGATTGTGTTGAAAAGTTTTGCCCTTTCCTGAGCCACCTGCCTTGCAGCTAGACGTTGAATTGGGAGAAAAGAATATGGGTAAATAAGAAGGTGATAATAGTGAATCTGAAAATCCTTGAAATTCAGGGAGCCCGCTAGGAGAAATTGAGCTAGATGCTTTGCTTCTGATACAGTAATCAGCACTAGACAAATCAATGCTATCAATTATGCCCAAAGAAACTCTATGGCTGGATGATGGTGGAGAAATGGAACCAAGAGTGGTGGACTCAGCTAGTACCTGAACTTGACTTGCTCCATTTTCAGATGTCTTCGTGGCATCTTTATCCTCATTGTTATGAGGTGAACAAACCCAATACATCGAAGCTTCACTTGGCAGGGGCAACAAAGAGGTGCTGACATGGTGGCGGTGCTCATTATTTCATTCCCATTACCATCATCAAAACTATCAGCAGTCCCATAATTGAAGTGAGGGTTGTCCTCTCCCACAATAAGAATACCCCGAGGCCTGCATTTTCTTTTGTCAGTGACACCAGAAACTATATAGCCAGCACCATAACAAGCTGGTGTAGTAGCTGAAACCAAAGAAGAACCACATTGTATCTCAGGGGAAACAGAAATTTGAATTGGAGGTGTTTTACTAGGGCTTGTGTTTGAGTTCTCTTTAACATCCCCATCATCACGTACAATATCCAAATCTGACTCAGACACCCTTTTACTCAGAGGAGTCAAAGTTGCTTCATTATGACAAGATTTGAGCTGGGAACACTTATGGTCATTGTCATTTATCCTCTTGAGTCTCTCTTCCTGCAGCATTGACTCTCCAAATCCAGATGGCAGTCGAGGAAGAAAATTGCAATGGTTATTCAGAACAGAAGAGGACATGGATTTTTGGCCAGTTTTAGAATCGGATTTCTTCCCAGATTGCCACTGGTATAGGCATGGGGGATTCTTCTTAACTTTCCGAGCCTTCTCTGATGCAAGGTTTTTAGTGTGGTCCCCGCTATTACCTTTTGTAAGGTTCTCTTTAGCGTTAGGCTTTCTCAAAGGAGGCACATTGTGGATTGAATTGGGAGTTTGGGAGAGGTATTTCGGTCTGCAGGCAGGGGATTTTGAAGAAGAATGGAATGTTCTCGATTAAAATAAACAATCACTCAGACAATGAATGTAAAATCTGGATCTATTATATGTATAACGTCAAAACACAGCAGTAATATATCCAGATACAAGCATCAAGCCACAAAATAACAGAAAAGTCAGGGAATGGAAGAAACTGCCAGAGAGGGAAGGGAAACAGAATATTCAGAGAGGAGAACGTCCAGACGGAGGGAGATCAGAGACCCGATTCACGTAATCCACACCTCTCTCTTTCCTCTAACAGAATATATCGTCACTCCTTCCGCATTTTCCATGTGAGCTTACGTTCACGAGTGCTGCGTCGTGGTCCCACCTCATCATTCGGCCCACTATAGCCCACCTCATCCTGGTTTGTGGCCTGGTCCATAACAATACCCCCCAGAACGAATTGGACCTTGTCCCCAAGGTCAAAAGCAGGGTATAGTTGCTGGAATTCATGTAGAGGTTCCCAAGTAGTGTGGTCGATGCCATCCCATTGAACCAGAATTTGAGGGACCCAAGTATCCCCAATTAAAATGGACCGCGAATTGAGAACAGCCGCAGGTTGAATAATAGGACCTTCAGGTTCAGTCATTAAAGGCAAGGGAACATACGGAGTCGTGATAGGTCTCTCATAAGGTTTCAGCATAGAGACATGAAAGACTGGGTGGATTTTTGCTGTGTCCGGAAGCTGCAATCTGTAGGCGACAGAACCCACTTTATGAGTAATAGGAAAAGGACCGAAGTACCGCATTGCAAGTTTTTGATGTTTTCGCAAAGCCACAGAATTTTGCCTATACGGTTGAAGTTTCACGAAGACAAAATCACCCACTTCAAAATGTGATTCCGTGCGGTTTCTATCAGTAAATTTCTTCATTCGGATTTGTGCCCTCCCCAGATTCTGTTTCAACTGCAGTAAAATAGCATCACGGAGTTGCAACTGCGCCATGACATCAGTGGGAACCTCGGAGGAAAATGCAGCAGGCAGAATCGATGGGGGATCTCTGCCGTATAATACTTTAAACGGGGTCATCCCAATCGCTGTATGATAAGAGGTATTATACCAAAATTCGGCCCATGGGAGATAGTCCAACCAGTGTCGAGGGCAGTCAAATACAAAGCATCTCAAATACATTTCTAAACACTTATTCAAAGCCTCAGATTGACCATCCGATTGAGGATGGTAAGCAGAACTCATATTCAACTTAGTACCATGCAAAGTAGTCAAATGGCACCAAAACGCACTTAAAAAAACCTTGTCCCTATCCGAAACAATAGTTTTTGGGAATCCATGTAACTTAACAACAGAATGTATAAAAGCTTTGGCAACATGCTGACTATTATAGGAGTGTTTCAAAGGCATAAAGTGGGCATATTTAGAAAGACGATCAATCACCACAAAAATGACAGAATGACCACGCACTAGAGGTAAGGCAGTAATAAAATCCATAGCAATGTCATCCCAGACTTGATCAGGGATAGGTAACGGAGACAAGAGACCAGCAGGATGAAGTTGCAAACCTTTCGCCTGTTGACAGATGAGGCATTGTTTGATAAAGTCCCGAATATCAGACTTCATTCGAGGCCAGTAGAAAACAGTAGCCATTCTGTGGTAAGTACGCAAGGTACTCGAGTGACCACCAAGGGGAGAGGCGTGGAACTCAAGCAATAACTTCCTGATAATGTGTGTGGCAGTAGTAGGAATCACCAGCCTATGCTTTTTATATAATAAACCATCCCGAAACTCGTAATCAGAGTCAGATGGGGGGTTCTGCATATGGTGTTTTATCATCTCCTGCACAGTAGGGTCAGACCGCAAATCAGATAGAATGTCATTCATGAGAGAAGAAGAAATCTGCATCATTGCCATACAGTCAACGCGAGACAGAGAGTCAGCGACAATGTTTGATTTGCCCCTCTTGTACTCAATGGTATAATCATACCCCATTAGTTTAGGTAGAAAAGCCTCCTGTTCTGGGGTTTGGATCACTTGCCCTCCCAAATGCTTCAAACTCTCTTGATCAGTCCAAATGACAAAACGGTGTCCCACAAGATAGTGCCGAAACTTTGAGACAGCTTGAGTAATAGCATACAATTCCCTGACATAAGCCGATTGAGCTTGTAATCTCGGGGATAGTTGCTTCGAAAAATAAGCAATAGGGTGTTTGTCCTGAAGCAGTACAGCGCCAATCCCCTTTCCCGAAGCATCAGTCTCTAGTATGAAGGGCCGTGTAAAATCCGGTAGGGCCAACGTAGGGGCTGTAGTCAACGCCAACTTTAGTTGGTCAAAAGCGTGTTGGGCTTCCTCTGTCCAGTGAAAGGAGTCTCTCTGTAACAACTTGGTCAGCGGGCAGGCTAACTCTGCATAATGGCGAATAAAACGCCTATAATAACCAGACAGTCCTAAGAAGCCTTTCAATTGGGTAACAGTACGGGGAGGGGGCCATTGTTGAATGGCAGAAATTTTGGTGGAATCCATATCAACTCCCTTGGATGATATAACATGTCCCAGATATTCCACAGAGTTGAGGCCAAAAGAACACTTAGATATTTTAGCAAAAAGATGATTGGCAGCCATTAATTTTAGAACCTCTTCCACATGCTGCAAATGCTGTTCCCACCCAGTACTGTAAACTAAGATATCGTCGAAGAAGATCAACACAAATTTACGCAAGAATGGACGAAAAACTGAATTCATAAGAGCTTGAAATGTGGCTGGCGCATTTGTTAATCCGAAAGGCATGACAAGCCATTCATATAAACTTTGATGGGTCCGGAAAGCTGTCTTTTCTCTATCAGCGGCATGCATCAGTACCTGATGGTACCCAGAGCGTAAGTCCAATTTAGAATAACAAGTGGAGCCTCCTAATTCGTCTAACAATTCATCCACAGTGGGCATGGGGAAAGAGTCTTTGATCGTGACCGCATTAAGAGCTCGGTAGTCAACACAAAACCGCCATGTACCGTCTTTCTTTTTGACTAATATAACAGGGGCAGAGAACGGGCTAGTGCTAGGTTGAATCAACCCATCTTGTAGTAATTCAGTGACCATCCTTTCAATCTCATCCTTTTGGCTAAAAGGATATCGATAAGGGCGTACTTTCACCGGCCCCACACCTTCCTGTAATATAATCCGATGTTCCAGTGCTCTCTGTGGAGGTAGGCCCGTAGGCTTAGTAAAAACCTCCTGATAGTTGTGTAACAAACTTTTCATGTCTCCTGGTATACTGTCATCCAAACCCAAATCGTGCTCACCCTGTATATCCAAGTGCAGCATGAAAAACTCAGATACCGCATCCATATGAACAAGGCGCTGTAAGTGATGGAAGTCGGCCCGAGTGATAGACGGTTGAACCATCCCTTGAAGAGTAACAAAGGTCCCATTATTGAAGAATTTAATCTTAGACCGCCCAATCGTATAATCTGCCACATGAGGACCCAAAGTGGCCAACCACGAAGCGCCAATCACTACGTCAGAACCCGCAATAGGCAATACGTAAGCAGGGATTTCGATTGTGTGGCCCTGTATTTGTACAGGAAGAACACGGACCACACCCTCACCTTTCATGGAATGACCGTCGCTAATCATCACTCGCACGTGACCCACAGATTCAACAGGTAACTGGAGATGCTTTACGATACGTGGATGCACAAAACTATCGGAACTGTCGCCATCCAACAGAACCTGAACCGCCGACCCATGGATAGACCCCTCGAAGCGAATGGTAGCCTTACCTTGTTGTCCTTGGAAGGCATGAAGAGAAAGATGATGGATGCTAGTGGCTTCCTCATTCCCGCCATTGAGAGCATGTGGCGTCATCTCCGGGACCTGTCCTTCACTGTCGTCACACTCCATTAACATATACTGCTTGTTGGGGCAACGATGAGTGGGGGAAAATTTCTCATCGCACGTATAACACAAACCCTTCTCCCGTCGTATCAACATCTCGGCAGGGGACATCTGTTTGATAGAGGTCATTGGTTTAATGGCGGGGGTGGGTAACAGAGGAGGAAGAGTGGTTTTCACTGGCGGTGAAGCAGAAGATACACTGGTCGTGGCGGTAGTGAAGGGTTTAGAATACCCCCCTCTAGTTGGGCCCGATGCGATGGGCTTGGTTGTGTCCATTGGGAGTCCAATTTTTGCATCAAACAATTTAGCCAGCTCGGTTGCCCGCATAAGATTATACGGTCTTTGACTGACGACATAGCGTCTGACCTCCGGTTTCAAGCCACCAGTAAAACAATCTAACAGTGCTTCGTCAGAGACGCCTTCTGTTCGATTGGCGAGAGTCAAGAATTCCCGGTAATACTCATCAGTGGACCCTGTCTGCAAGAGCTTAAATAACCAAACCCGAGGCTGATCATATGGAGAAGGTCCATATTCATTTTCTATAGCACGAGCCAAAGAATGCCAACTGGTAATCAACCTTGCCTTCTGCTGCATTTGAAACCACGGAACCACCTCACCTTCGAAATTCACTGAGGCGATGATGATCTTCTGTATATCGGGCGTATGGTAGTACTCAAAGTACTGTTCGGCGCGAAAAATCCACGTAGTCGGGTCCACCCCACTGAACTTTGGAAAGTCAAGTTTAATGGTCTTGGCAGAGCCAGAGTGGCCGGTCCAGGAGGAACCTGCACCAATAGGTGAAGTCTCACCCAATATCTCAGAGTGACGATTCGTGGAGCTCAAATTCCTGCTCAAGTTCTCGATTGCCATTTCCAGTTTGTCAAAACGAGGCTGAGTAGTGTTCGTTAAAACATCTAAAGTCGATTCTAATCGATCAAACCGCGCGTTATTATTAGTATCAATGCCGTCCATTCTTTCCTTTGCGGATTTCTCCATCTGATCCATGTACTCAGCTAACGCTTTCACCTCAACCTGCACATTTTTCACCTCAGCCTGTACATCCTTGAAACGTGTAGCTTCTGCCATGACAGCCGTTGGTCAATGAAAGCACCAAATGGAATGTTCTCGATTAAAATAAACAATCACTCAGACAATGAATGTAAAATCTGGATCTATTATATGTATAACGTCAAAACACAGCAGTAATATATCCAGATACAAGCATCAAGCCACAAAATAACAGAAAAGTCAGGGAATGGAAGAAACTGCCAGAGAGGGAAGGGAAACAGAATATTCAGAGAGGAGAACGTCCAGACGGAGGGAGAGCAGAGACCCGATTCACGTAATCCACACCTCTCTCTTTCCTCTAACAGAATATATCGTCACTCCTTCCGCATTTTCCATGTGAGCCTACGTTCACGAGTGCTGCGTCGTGGTCCCACCTCATCATTCGGCCCACTATAGCCCACCTCATCCTGGTTTGTGGCCTGGTCCATAACAAAGAAGAAGAAGAGTGGGAGAGGAAAAATCGTAGGCAACCTCTTGATGCTTCAGCAGAGACGTTGGAAGAATCACTGCTATTGCTACTACCAGAAATGCGATTCAGATCCTGCAATGGGTTTCGAGGACTTTGCTTTCTCCTTTGCACTGACTTTGCAAGGGATCTTGGAGGTGGTGCTGTAGCAGGAGGCAGAAAAGGTTTTTTCACTGAAGATCCTCGGCTCATGGTGAAGCTTGCAGGTTTTATCTCACATTGAATCAACCTGCATTTGAACATAGACTGCTTGCATAAGGATAGCAATTTAAGAACTTCATCCATTCTATCCATTGTAGCACGAAACATTCAGAAGCTAGTTCAGACTTCTCGCTAATCAGGTAAGGTGAAACATTCTAGTGAAGAAAGACCCTTGAGTATTGAGATATCTTCAGGAAATTTATTGCAGACAAATAATGTGTTTCCATTAGTTCTTAATGAAACATCCATGGAACTGTAGCAAAATCAGCTGGATTACAGTATAACGTAAGAAAGAAAAATCACATATAAGTAAAGAACACACAATAATAAAACCAAATAACCTTCACTAATACCTTTCCTTTATTTTTGGCCGTCAACTAACACTTCTCCTAAGTTACCCAAAAAAAACTAAGAAATGAGAAAATCGGCATCAATGGGCAGCTGAAAAATCCGTGCCAATGCATTAAAAAAAAATGCACCCCAAGAAAATAGGGAACACCAGGAAGTATAAAGTTCACGACAATGGGAGGCATTGATAAAAATCAGTTTTTCTTTTCTTTTTCTTCTCAGTTTTTTATTTTTTAAAAACAATTGAAAATTTAGGTGAAATTAAATAAATTAATTTCTTATTTATATTTTTTTTCACTTGTAATTTATCTTAATTATTTTGTATTCATGCCGATGTGGTAGTGTTTTAATAAGCGTCACCTCAAACCATGTGATCAAGTCATCATATTGCATGGACCTCGAAAATGAAGTTAGTACTATATATAAAGAGAATATTGAGACTCGAGAGCAACAAATTTTATAGATATGTTGATTAAAAATAATTTAATAAGAACTAAGAGGGAGATTGAAAGTAATAAATTTTAGCAAAATTTTCATTTCAAAAAATATGATGAGTTGTTATTTGTAAGTCAATTGTAGTCAAAACTCATTAAAACATAGAAAGTTCCTCTTAGCCATAACGTTTAAGAGATTTGAGATTTAGTAATTTTAAAAAAAAATTCATATTTTTCTTAAATTTTATATGCATATATTAATTAAAAAATAGTTTAGAAAGTTCTCTTGAAGTATAACATGTAAGAGATATATTTTGTTCCTCGGGTCTTTAATATAAGAACTAATTATCATATGAGTTTTTGGTTTAGCTAGCTATCTAATATTCAAATGCAAGTTGAATATTTTATTTTTATCTTCTCAATTACCTCTCTAACATCCTCCCTTTCATTGATCAGATTCAAGATAATATTATTGCAAATGCATTACATTCAACACCAGAGGTCTAAAGTCATCCATCTCACCAAGCTGGCTCCTTAATCTTTCCTCCATGAGATCCTCATTTGGGATTGTGTTGCTGTCTCAATTGTGGAACTTGATAAACAAGGAACCTGATCATCCAAAACTTTGGGAAGCCCATATAGATCAATTAAATCAGAAGGCAGAGCTGAACAATCAAATTGGAACTTGAATTAACAGAATCTTTCAAATCAAGGTCAAGCTTAGAACTGTTTTTTTCCACAGTCTCCATGCAACCATGGCATGCCAGCATGGAATTATTTTGAAGTGTACTAATATTTTTATAATTTTTCATAATTTTATTTTGCATGTTGTCTGCTACGTAGGTATAGTAAAATACATAGTGCAACATTAACAAAATGTGTGTGTATGCGTGAGAGGGGGTGGGGGAGAGAATTTCAAGTGAAGTAAAATACTTCTTCCAGTCCTTAATAAAACCAGTTAACTAATTTGAGTAGATTAATAAAACTAGTTAAGTTAATGATTTGTAATAAATATATATTATATTTCATAAAATATCCTTGCTAATTAAGTGTATTGACTAGAATTATTATTATTACAAGGACTACATTGGAAAAAACTAGATAAATATAAGAGACAAAATGTGTTGCGGTGTTATATTTAAGACCAAAATAAAAGTAAAACAAACTCTTATATTAAGAACAAGAAATAGTTGTAAATAAGGTCTTCAAATCAAGGGAAAAGCAAGGACGTGTGTGCCGTATATATATCTGGGTATATAACTTGCCATATTCTTCTTATGGGAATATTTTGAAATTAAATGACTTATCATATGTAACTCATTGATTTTAACACTACAAAAAAATAGACTTTAGGCGACGACTTTCGGCGGCGACAAAAAAAGTCGCCGCTGAAGGTCCACTTTCAGCGGCGACACCAAAAAGTCGCCGCTGAAACTAAGACTTTCAGCGGCGACAAAAGTGTCGCCGCTGAAAGTGGACCTTCAGCGGCGACTTTTTTTGTCGCCGCCGAAAGTGGACTTTCAGCGGCGATATTTTTAGTCGCCACTGAAAGTTCGCCATTGAAACCAAGACTTTCAGCGGCGACTTTTTTTGTCGCCGCCGAAAGTGGACCTTCAGCGGCGACTTTTTTAGCCGCCGCCGAAAGTGGACCTTCAGCGGCGACTTTTTTAGCCGCCGCCGAAAGTGGACCTTCAGCGGCGACTTTTTTTGTCGCCGCCGAAAGGGGACCTTCAGCGGCGACTTTTTTTGTCGCCGCCGAAAGTGGATTTTCAGCGGCGACTTTTTTAGTCGCCGCTGAAAGTTCGCCATTGAAACCAAGACTTTCCGCGGCGACTTTTTTTGTCGCCGCCGAAAGTGGACTTTCAGCGGCGACTTTTTTAGTCGCCGCCGAAAGTGGACCTTCAGCGGCGACTTTTTTTGTCGCCGCTGAAAGTATAATATAATAATATATATTTTATTTTACAATATTAATAAACAAATTCAATCTGGCTCAGCGGCAAGAAGGTTGGACACGAAAGGAGGCGGTCACGAGTTCGAACCTGGAAGAAGACACATTTAAGGTGAAAATATTTGGATGATGACGTGGCGAGGAGGAGTGATGTGGCAATGACGTGGAGGTGGCTAGTGATGATGTGGCGGTCGGCGGTGATGATGTGGCCGCCGATGGCGATGACGTGGAGGTCGACGGTGATGACGTGGCGGCCGGAGATGATGACGTGGCACCGACGGCGATGACGTGGCATTGGTAAAGCCAATTCTTCTTAGGCATTACTTTCAGCGGCGACAAAAAAGTCGCCGCAGAAAACACTTTCGGCGGCGACATTTGTCGCCGCCAAAAAGTCTTTCAGCGGCGACAAGAGTGTCGCCGCCGAAAGTGTTTTCTGCGGCGACTTTTTTGTCGCCGCTGAAAGACTTTTTGGCGGCGACAAATGTCGCCGCTGAAAGTGTTTTCGGCGGCGACATTAGTCGCCGCCGAAACTTCTAAAAGTCGCCGCTGAAAGTATCTTTTAGCGGCGACCTTTTTAGTCGCCGTTAAAAGTTTTCAGCCACAGCTGCTACGGCAACGACTTTTCAGCGGCGACTTGTCGCCGCAAAAAACTTTCGACGGCGACTTTTGTACTTTCAGCGGCGACTTTTGTCGCCGCTGAAAGTCAATTTTTTTGTAGTGTAACTTGTTAAGTTGTCATTACCTGTAGCATAATGTGAACTGATTATTTTTATTTCAAATTACATTTCAACTATATATTGCTTTTATATATGTCACAGCACTTTGAAACATTTTTTTTGGTTATATTAAATGTGCTTTCAGTGTTTGTTGCAACTGCTGTACTGAACAGGTTAGTAGATGAAGCAATGCTTGAAGTTTATTATCCTTTCGGTTTCAACAATTACGTTAAAGAGGTTTAAACAGAAAAAGAGAACTTGCAATCACAAGTACAAGTTTCTGAAGATCGAGCCAAAGATGTAGAGAGAGTTGAGAAATGGTTGTATGAAGCATACTCTCTAATGGCAAAAGTGGTAAAGAAGAAGTTTGGAATTTATACAGAGCAGTTTCTTGATGAACTAGTCTTTGTGTTCGTGTGCAATGCCACTGAGGTAAGGAAAATTCAGGACAAGATTGCAAGCTATGTTTCGTGATAATAAACCAGAGCAAGTGTTTGAAATTAATGAAGATGATGAAAAAAGGAAGATGGAGAATGTTAATGAGATTCCAAATTTGTAATATGCATTACTTTTGGACCTCCCAGGAAATCAAATATGTCCTGCAAACTTAAATACTTTTTGAAGGTTTTATATCCGGGAATGCTAAATTAGTTACCACATCAACAGATGTGATTATGCCAAATTAATATTTTTTTTTCATATAAAGGTTGATGTTTTTAATATAATTAGCACCTATACATGAAATTTTATTTATTTATTAGGTAGTTACTATGGTTATGAGAGTTGTTAATATCATTACATGACTTGTTATTAGAGTTGTAAACTGCTATACCAAACTTGTTAATAACGTTACAAAACTTGTTAACTGTATTACTAAAATTATAAATATTCCTAGACCTACCATG